TATAACGATGCTCAAGTAGACACGATGTGATGTTGAAACTCAAGTTTGGAATGTTTACAGTCTGCAAAGCTGTTGGCAGGACAGTGATGCTTTCGTCAGTATTGAATATACTGCACTGGCCTGTTGTCTCTTCACTGTCGATATCCGCTTTATCATATGTGGGAAACGGATGATTCCCCTTTGTCTTCCACCTACTCCCTTCCTTTGACGTTGTACCTTGTGGGATTGCCATTTCTGTTTTGTTAGCTGATGCCCCATGTACGTCTTCGGGTTTCTGTCTAGAGTCCAGCATACTCTGCTATTCTAGCAGAAGCATGCATGTGTCTGAGCCTTTCCCCTATCAGACCAGAACCGGGTCCTTATGATGATGGTGAGACCATTGTTGGCCCTGGATTGATCAATTAAGAAGCAAATCCCCGACAATCCCTCACTCAGGATCTGACACTGGTTTGTTTGGGATGTCGTTCAGTATAGAACCCCCCAAGGCATTGAATGCTATTCAGAAGCGAGGTTGAGGGTTATGAATGCGCGGTTTTTCGGGGGCCAGGTTGCCACGCGCACGGGATGATTTTCCCGCCATGCAGTCATGCCGATTCTAGACTTGAAGCCGGTGGTCCTCACCCCTTTGATGAAAAGAACATTGGGCTCCCCGCCATCGAAGCCAAAGTGTCATACTATGTAGAAGTGCAGCAAATCAGTGGACATGGTGACCACAGCGGCGGTGGAGCCTGACTAGGAACTGCCTGCTCGATAAAAAAATTCATCCTAATTTGACAGTGGTTGTATCAGCTGGCGCGGCCTCTACAGTGTTCTTTGCCACCTTGGTTGACCTGTATTCTGTGGTGTGACCGCGATCCGAAAGGATGAGGATGATCATCTTGCCAGACGCTCCTTGTGGGCGAAGGACACCTGCCGCAGAACCGAGTTGATAAGCGCGCATGATGTCGGCGATAGGGATGACTACACAGTATCTGCCCCCTCGTGCAAATTGCAGAAGCACAGGCTTCCCATTGGATAATCGAAGTGGCTCTACACAAGCCACGACAGTGCCTGATACCGTAAAGGGGATGAGCTGGTGAGATGGCGTTTCCCTTGTGTGGAGACCGGCCTGGGACTTTTTAACATACCTATCTAGTACTACGTAGATAAGTACATGATAATGTGGTGTAGGATCGATCCATGCTAGTGGCCGAGCCAGCGCTACACACCTGGGTAGACTTCCTAAGGCTCGGATCGTATGCGATCGTGCATGATGTATACACAGTAGAACTTTGTCGACCGATGATGAAATCGAGGATCGGATCATTCGATAGACTGACCTCCAGCCTCTTCCGGTGTCAATTGGTGGGTTATTCCTCGCCAGGTAGAGACACTGGCGCAGTGGCTGTATGGACCCTCCTCCCGATCCCTTCCATGGGTTCTCGAATTAACAGAGGCCGGAGCGCCGGGGGGGGGGGGGGGGGGGTGTAAGAGAAGGCTGGAGATGCGATGTGTTCACAACCACCTCAGTTGGCGTGGGCCTGGTCGATGACGTCATGGGTTGACTTCGGCGTGGCGTCGAAAGGCAGACGCGGTGGAAAACACGGATGATCGCGGTCAAACTGCCTCCCTCAGAGGGTTCCAATGGATTCCATCTACCTCACCCAACAGCAGATGGTCTTGGAATCTAAAAAAAAATTCTGTTGGGGGGCGGGGGGGGGGGGTTGCCAGTGTGACCAATGTTATCCAGGCCGCTCAGGTGCAGGGGAGAGAGAGAGAGTATTCAAAGGTGTGCTCTGAATGCTTTCAGTTTACGCACACTCTCTCTCACCCACTAGGCTAGTACGGCGTCAATCCCCGCCACGATGGAGTAGTTTCCACCTTGGGTCTGTCTCCTCCTCGGTGGCAAATTCACTTCCTCTTTTGATAGATAGATGGATCGATCATGCCATACTGTGTGCATGATGTGTGCACGAATCACTCACTGTCCAGACCATAGCTGTATACCCACCGCATCTACCGCTGCCCTACTACCGTTGGGGAGGGGGGGGGGAAAGGTACCAGGCACAGCCGACAAACCCCTGGGGAAATTCGCCAGGACTCACAAGTTTGCCATGATGCAATAAGAGTTTGCGGCTCGGTATTGGTACGGAGTGATATCCATTCTAAGTAGTCTTGTACCACGACGATTTCAAGATGGTTCAGATGGCGAAGGCCGATAGCCGAGACGGATGAAGAATCCGCATCCGCTTAGTGGGTGCAGTCCCTGCTGCGGGCTTCGAGCCCTTCCCAGCAAATCGATCAGATAGATACCTACCTGAAGGGGATCAATTCTAAGTGGGCTCCTTACCTGGCTGCCGGTGCCTGCATGGATCTGTAAACTGTAGGTAAAGCTGGCCAGGCAAGTCTTCCACGGTTCCACGGCTGTAAACGAAAGAGCCAATACCTAGCTCGGTGTCGGCCGTGCTCTGTGCAACCCAAACTCCGTGGGACGACTGATGATTCCTGGGGGCTCGAAGTAAAGAAATGGCTATGTAAGGTGGTGCTGCCGCTGATTCGCTGTGATTGATGCTTGAAGATTGCTGGAGGTTCTGGAACAATCGATTCTCGGAAATCTCTGCCACATTTGCATGGCGCCGACATTATTGTACTAATAGGTAGGCGTGATTACTGTATTTCCTGTATTTCTTGGGAAGGTTTTAGACGGTACGAAGTGGGAGCTTGTTGTGGCTGAATATGGAAAGTAATACTGTAATTATAGTATTGCATACTGAGTCAGGTGTAGGTATGTATTACATGAACTAGTGCATCAAGCTGAGGGGGGGTTATCTCTTGTGTACTATACTGCTGTACATACTCCTCCGTACTTGTACCCGTATCACGATACTGAGATATAGGTACAGATTAGGTACTCCATACATGGAACTACTAGTAAATACTTGGGCACCGTAAGGCATCTTCACCAGGCCAGGGGAATTGGGCTAACTACTAGCTTTATTTATCGCAACAAAGCCCCAGGCTGCCTACTGAAAACCCATGCTTTTAAGTTGGTGGCTTTGGGTACACTTACTGATTGTGAAGGATGACCTTGAAGTCTACAGCACAAAAGCCGGAAGTGGCTGTCTCTCACATGAGAGGATCTTGGCTGTCAGGATGCCCTCGGTCGGGGCTGTATCTAGCCAAAGCACCTACCCAATAACACGACCCATTGAAGAACAAAACACTTAGTACTTAGTAAAGCCCAAGAAGGGGCATTCTATATGTTTGATTGCTTGACATCTGTACTCAGGAGCCGCTCGAATGTTCTTCGTGCCTCTAGAAGCTAATGGTTCAGCAACCTTCAACTCACAACTCACGACTTACGACCGGCAGTGATCCCCACCTAAACAGAGCTGCTGCTTAATTAGCGTGACCTTAGGAACACCGTCGTCAGCAGCCTCCTGCAGCTATCATTGGCCCTAAACCAATTTCCTGCACCCTACCGTACTACTATTACGCAGTAGTAGTAAGTACTAAGGCACTTACTAGTACTCTGTAGTGTCGACCATTTTCCATCCTGCTACTAGGCTTCAGGTCCATCAACCCTCTTGCCCAGTCGGGGTCATTTGACTCATGTGTTCCCGAGACCAAATCCCGAAAATCTAGAGACGCAGTGGCCCCTGGGATCAGTTGGGGGGGGAATGGATTAAAGAAAAGTAATCGATAGTGGGGAGGTGTCACGGTACGGAGTTCTGAACCACGGAGCATGCTAAGAAGGACCCGGCCATGCCGCTGGTGGCGGCTGGGATTGGACCAAGGAATTTCCGGAAAAGGATGAGATGAGGTTGAAGTGGTGTTGTATTGATTGGCTGGTATCCCATCCGGCTCCCAAGCAGATGTGGAGCCTTCCGGAGCACTAGGTATATAGTACGAAATACTCCGGTACATGCAGTGCCACTGATCCCCGGCACCAAATAGGCAATAGACTGCTGTTTCATAATGGGGTGGGGGTTGGAGTCAGGAACGGGAAGACGCAGAACGTATAGGGGGAAAAGGATGGGAGAGGAGAGAGAACGACCCAAATAGTGGAACTGTGGGAGAAATAAACAGGGCAACATATATAGGTACTATGTAGCAAACATTCGCAACGAGAGCGTCGTTAATTCCCAAGATATGACTACTCCACGAAGTATGTCATGGCATATTGAATTTACTCCCGGCCTCGTACGACGGGGGCAAAACTTGTTGTGATACCCTACCCCATATAGACTCATATAAACCAAGTACCACTACATAAATAGGTCGACTCGCTTAGGGCGACTTCAACAATCACTTTGTAGCTTTTGAGTTTGTTAGGAACATTCACTATCAAGTCCAGCTCCTAAAAGGTTGATGAAAATGGATACTTAAGTTGAGTATTCTTTCCCCCCACGGATGTTTGACCTACACAGGGGCCATTTATGAATCAAACCCTTATTCGACCTTTGTTGGGTCAAGCCGAGTGATGGAATGCATGATTGAAACGGTCAATAAATTACGAGAGATTAAGGAAATTGGAACGGAAAAGTAAAGGTTACAAAGATATAATTTGGTAGAACATGGTACCTCTTCGCAGTAGGTACTAGTGCTAGTAAATGGTACAAGGACGAAGACAAGCAATCCCCTCCACCAGTCAATTAACCATGGAACCAGAATTTCTTCCTCTTCACTTCAACCACAATGCAGGCAGAAGAATTCTGCAAGGCGATCTTACCCCGAAAAGTCCTCGCAGGACCTGCAGCCGCAAGAAGGGGAAGGAGGTATATACCGCATGTGTGCCACTGCAGTCTAGTAGTCTGTCCAACTCCAGCTCCGAACCGCTCAATGTTCAGTGGGCGGGGTGGAGATCAGGCCCTAGTGGGAATGTACCCTGGCCAGGTCAGGTGGTCAGACTACAAGTAAGATTCGGTTCCAGGTGAGCTTTGCGCTCTCTCCTCCCTGGCAATTGTTCCGATCGTTCCTCTTGTCTCCCCCCTTCCCCATCATTTTGCCTCCACAGCCATCCATTATTACTTCTCCAGTTCTCATATTATGACTTTCGAGGCGTATGAGCTGAATCAACCTTGATCCTGCATGGCAATGGCGCGATGAGATTAGCGACCCATCCGACCCCGTCCAGACGGAACATCGACAATCACGGTGCGCAGCATCACCCTCATTCCCCACCTCCTCCAGTCTGTTTGGTCTTAGGGCTGGAGGGTGTGTTTCCCTTATCCTTCCATCCGCAATATGCAGCATAACAATAGTAATAACATGGAAATACTAAGAGAGAGAGGAAAAAAAAAAAAATCCGAAACCGCCCCCCTCCCCAAAAGAAACCAAAAACAATAATAATAAACCTTGTATGCATACCCGGTGGTTTCCCACCTGCACCCCCCTCCTGGCTACCCCCACTTTACAGGTCGCCTTAACGTTTTCCTCCTTCCCCGAAACTTCCATGGTTGATTCTGGGCCATTCTTACTCTTCTATTATTATTATTATTATTATTATTATTATTATTATTTTGTTTCGTCGGATGTCCGAAGGATGTTTCCATCACGTTCTCTCTCTCACCCCGCCCCCTTCGCACACACACATACATACATATAGAGAGAGAGAGAGAGAGAGAGAGAGAGTGTGTGTGTGTGTGTAGGTGTGTGTCAGGATCTTATGGAAAGACAACCTCCTGAATTAGTGGTTGTCACCCTCCAAATTCTAGCTTTTCCCAATCATCCAATGATGCTGATGCTCAGAACAGTCAGTTTGCCCGCCATCGGCACGAAGTGAACAGCTGTAACCATAAAGAAGCAGAATCACGTTACCGAGTCTGGCATGGTTGTAGATCAATTCATCCTTGAGCTATAAATTTCCTGCAGCTGTCAATTCCGGTGGTCACTGCCACGCATGCACTTCGGGCTAAGGCCCATCAGATGCTCGGAACCAGGACGTGCAGGACCCTCTGGAGTTTGCCACCGTCCGCAATGTCTACTACCTACCTGTACACCCGGGTTTCCAGAGACGAAAGCGGGTTGGCTCCCTGGGATCCTCGGGATACTACTAGCAGTCCCCTTATAAACTGTCAGAGGGGAGACCCATGGATTCCACCGGCCAGGGACAGCCTTCCGGTACCCAATCATGGCCGGCTACCGAAGCCATCGATGCCATCGAGACCAACCATTTCGCACTCTTGCCAATGGACCGCGCAGCATCGACCTTAGATTTAATTCCAAGTAACCCTAAGAAGAACCAGTCTCCGCTTTCCTCTGTTTCCCAATGGATGTGGCTGTTTTGGCCTGTTGATATGCCACCTTTCGGATCTCCATGCGGACCTTCTCCCTGAAGTGAGCCAGGTCTGGCTTCTACTTTCCTTTCTTGTTGATTGTTCCGTTTATTTCTCTTAGGTGAACCATTTTTTTCTTATCCTTATAAATCTCTTGTTACTATTAATATTTATGTTGTTATGAACCTTTTTTTTATCCTATGATTTTCGTTGTGGTGTCATTGCCCCCAATCCTTATCCTTTCTTTCCCCTACGTCTTGAATTTTCCTACCTGTGATTTCATTGTCTGTTATACATCCTCGATCTTCTTATAAATTAACACATGCCCCCTCCGCACCTATTTTCTTTATCATGATAATATTGTCAGGGAGCCTATCTTTTCTACTGCTTCTTCTTGTTGTTTTTGTTCTTTAGCTGGTTCCTTTAGATCATCGACGCCGGCATATTCCTCCGCTGGCCTTCATTCCGCCCGGACCCCTTGCAAAAACAATTCATTTTTTGTTCTTTCCTGCGCAGCTGAATTTACGGGTAAAGAATTGGGAGCAAGCTTGTTGTCGATCGTGCATGGTATTTGATTGGGCCTCGCAAGAGAAAGGACTAAAACGTTGAAGCAAGGCCCGATCCGCATCGCAGCCCCGATTTTTAAACTGTGGATATCCTCTGGGCTAGAGGCAGCCACAGCCACAAAGGAGAGAGGGGAGAGAAGGGCGCGGAGGAAGAAAAAGACAAGAGTCCAGATCATTGGTCTCTCGCGGCCTCACGATCCTCTGTGCGCCACTACCGGGGGGACCCTCGCCGGTCACCAGTATAGAATTGGCTTGAGTTCTGACGAACACGTCCCTCGGGGGCCCATTGTTGCCCTTATTTCCGCTTCGATAGTATTCTCTACCCACCTTGCTGTGAAGGACCTGCCCTTCCGAGCTCTGACGGTCAGAAGATCCGTTGGACTACTTGGGCTCTGCTGACCTGGTTGGTCTGGAGGGCCCTCCTTCTCCATAGTCTCCGCTTCAGGCCTGGGTACGGTGCGGTGCGTCTACACAAGGATTATTCATTATTGACTGTGGTTATTTCCCCCTTCACCGACATCGAAGCCACCAACTGTCGGTTTGGGTGCTCCTCTTCCTGCCATCATCGTGGGGGGCACGGTCTTTCTGCCATCCCTCTTCCTATCTAGTCACACCTGAAGGTATGTTTGGTGATAGTCAGTATAATCTCTCTCTTCCCGTTTCGTATCGTTTCCCTCGGTCGTGTTTCCACAGGGCTGTTTGGCCTTTTCGTTCCCCTTCTCTCACTTTTTCTTCCCCCCCCCCCTCCCCTACCCCCTCCTCCTCAACGTCTATGGGGCAAATGCACTTTCACAATTAACCACATCTTCCAATCAATTATTGTGACGACTCGTCTCAAAACACACCTGTGCCTGAGAGTCTTCCGATGACTCCAAGGCTCTCGGGGGACGTGAGAAGCGGCGACTCTGGCAGCCCTCATCGGCGCTCTAGGACCACATATTCCATTTCTTTCAATTAGCAATGATCCGTCTCTTTTCGGCATGATTCAGAGCCACTAGGAATAGTGCTTGTGCCCTATATTCCCCAGCTCGTGATGCTCGTTTGCCAGTCAGAGATGAAGCTTCCATAGAGGGAGCCGGGATACCTTTGCTACATATCAACTGATCTCTCTTCATGTATCATCTCATAGCTGTTTTATCCATGTCCCAACCTTTTGTTTTATCCCCTGGCTGTGGTCCTATAACGTGCCTCTATGTCCGCAGCCGCCTACGCCCCTCCCCTTTTATGCCTTTGATACCCGATTATTCCATTTATAATCCCTCCCATGCTGGACTCGTTCTCCACCCTCTCTCGATGCAGCGCAGCGATTCGCGCGTGCATGTCTACTCGGTGGTCCCGTGTCATCACTTGTCCAGTCTGACAAAAGGACTGTTTTTTTTCTCCCCAAGAGAATCCAACAACTTTGCACTCAAATCCCTTCTGATTTTGTTAACACACCTTATAATTTGCCTGGTGTTCCTTTTGTTCGCTCCTCTTTCCTTCAGTATTCTCCCTCTGTGATCTTTTGGTTCATGTGGGTTTCATTCACATTGGCTCTATCTCTCTTTTGCCTAGATAAGTCGCCGATTCCATCATCATTACCACCCTCCTCCTTTACGCGCCCTAGTATTCGGTGTTTTTCTCGCTCTCCTTCTGATTCCACTTTGTTGTTTGTGGCTTTTATGCCCTTGAACACTGCCATCATTTGCTTATTGATTTATTTTCCGCTCTACTTCGCTTTGCTACCTATCGATCTCCTGAATTCCTCGAAAGTAATTAGTCTTTGGGATGGCACTGCTTAGGCTCTAACCAGAATCGGCATACTATAGGCATTACTTCGCGTCCTAGTGGAACTTTTGCCTACAAAATTTTAGAAAGTGCCTTGGCGTACGGGGCTGAGAGAAGGTATGTTGTATCACCTGTTACACCGGTCTCTGGGCCTCTGAACACCTAATTATCCCATTCGAAAGTCCGGGCTAATGATATTGAAAGACTACCTGTGCTGATTTTATGAACCGCTTTTATCTACCATGACGTATCCCAATGACAATGCTTCGTCAGACTCAACCCAGGAAAAGTCGAATGAAACCGAAAAACAGAAATCGCATCGAACAGTGGCGCCTCCTCCGCAATTAGGTATGTCCATCGCCCAGGATAGTCCATCTGCGAAGCCTTGATAGAGCTGAAAGTTTGCTCAGTATCGACAACTTCCCGCGAAGTCCCTGGGCAGGATAATGTACAAAACTATCTCAAGACACAGGCCCATATGACACACACTGCACAGGGAGCTGCACCCTCCTCCTTCAATATGCAGGACATGAGATCAGCGTTGCCTGGATATCAATCTCATTCTATTATTTATGAGCAACATCATATTCAACAACCATTCGTTCACACGGCTCATCCCCACGGTGTCATATACGCAATGCCTCCTTTGCCCTCGTTTCATGGGGCGACAATAGGTGCAAATATGACTTACAACACTCATTTTAACCAGGTTTACCCGTCCTATCTTCAGCGACAACACGAGAATCTACTTCTACCTCATGGTGCGACGGGGTATCAATCCTTGGTACCGCATTCACCCTCTCACCTGAACGTTCATATTCCGGGCCAAGCATCCGGTTATGGGCCTAACTATTATTCTCAGACTGCATACACAGGCACACTTGGACATGGACCGGGTCCCCCGACTACGTCTTCTTCAGCTCAAGTGCAGTCACGTGTTGATTTTCAGAACATGCAGGGCCCACCTATCAAGATTGCATCGCGTCTGGGGAAAGAAACTAGCCAACGGCGTCTGGATATGGAATATGATGTCTCGAAGACAATTGTAGACGGATCGACTCCTATGAGGCCGATCCCCATTCAAACCTCTCCGGCGGGTAAGTAAGACTGATTCCAAATGTGTGGGAAGCGAACTACATGTTCTGTATTAACTCTGATATGCTAGATTCAACCTCGCATTCACCTGTATCAAGCGCCCCAAGGGGGTCGCCGCGAAAGCCAAAGCAGTCTGGACATGCACTCTGGGTCGGTAATCTTCCTCCTGGTACAAATGTTGTTGACCTGAAAGACTACTTTTCTCAGGGTGCCACGAAGGAGCTGGAGAGCGTCTTTCTCATATCTAAGAGCAACTGTGCCTTTATTAACTACAGAACAGAGACAGCCTGTTCCGCAGCGCTGTCAAGATTCAATGATTCCAGGTTCCATGGAGCGCGTCTTGTATGTCGGCTACGCCAGGGGACTGTTTCCCCGGGATCCAATCCTGATTCTATAGGTTCCCCTACCCCTACTTTATGCCACGATGGTGATGCCAAGCTATCGAACACTGAGGTTGAGAGAGCTGGTGCAGAAAGTAGGCCGTCACGCACTCGGGTTCCTAGCAGGTACTTCATAGTTAAAAGCTTAACTGTTGATGACCTCGAACTCAGTCGACAGAGCAACATCTGGGCAACTCAAACTCACAACGAAGAACAGCTAAATCAGGCTTACGAGGTGAACCATATGCTGCCTAGGGACCATTATTGGTCGGAAGTATGTCGCTGACAAGCAATCAGAACGCAGATGATGTCTATCTTATTTTTTCTGCCAATAAGTCGGGTGAATATTACGGGTACGCCCGTATGATGTCACCCATACAAGACGACGAGACTTTGACATTGGAAATGCCCCCACGATTGGATAACCCTGATCCTGAGGCTTTAGACGTGACACCTACACCAGCAACATCCACTGCACCTGATGGACGAATCATTAATGACTCTGCGCGGGGAACTATCTTCTGGGAGGCCGCATCCTCGGAAGATGAAAGCGGCATGGGAAAGGAAAAGGCCACCCCTGAAAGAGTAGAAGAACCTACAAATATTGGAACCCAATTGATTGGAAAGCCGTTCAGAATACGGTGGCTTTCGGCTACACGGGTCCCCTTTCACCGTACTAGAGGCCTGCGCAATCCCTGGAATTCGAATCGAGAAGTCAAGATTGCTCGTGATGGTACGGAGATCGAGCCGGAGGTAGGATGGAAACTTCTGCAGCTGTTCCACTCCCAATTTCAACAATAGGACCCAGGCTGTCAGAGGATACATCGTGATGAACAAGGGGAGAAAGAAGTGGAGACACGGCAATAACGGGATGAAAAGGGTCAGTAAAGATGAAGTGGACGGAGGTGCTGAACGACAAGTTGCGTGGCATCAGAGTGATGAAGCTTGAGCTGAGACTGCCCCGAGGGGCCCTCCCACCTCACGAGGGGTGTGTCAGACACGGATATGTCCTTTCTGGGGTATATTTGCATTGCCGGGGTCACGCACACTTTTGCTTTTGTGTAGGGAAGTCCACATCCTGAGGACTGGCCAAGGACCAGAAGAACACGAATGGGTCCTCAGTTCGGGGCCGAGGTAGGACAGACAGTACACGTACCTTATCTACTTCGTGCCTATATAGATATATATACGTTGGACAACGTATCTAGACAAGAAAGACCTGGAATACACGCAGACAAAACCATGGAAACATGCCTCACACAAATCCCCCTTCGTATAGGGAGAGGTAGAATCACACGGGGTTAGCAGATTGCTAGATAGTGTTACGCAGAGCATTACGAGTCAATACCGGTTATGCATACCTAACCTCATACCATGCATGCATACTCGATACATGACACCAAACTTCTGTAAGGTATCGTTCCTGGTATTGACAGATGTGTGTACTCGGTACGGAGCACTCTGTACCTTTCATCCTTACAGCGTATATACACACATCGGCATACAACACATGCGCAGTCTCGAGAAGTGATATCAACGATAATGGGATCCAACACTCCAAGAATGCGGCTCTGAGGGAATACTTACATAGTATGTAGGAAAGAAACAGGAAGTGACTTCCACTTGGATGCATCCTGAGAAGGGGCATCCTCAATTCCCTCTCTACTACGTACTTTCCTGCCATCCAGCCACTGCAGCCAGACTCATGAATCATCGACCCCGGATCGTCTGGTCCAGTTCAGCTGCACCGTCCCCAAGAAGGCTAGACCCATTCTGGCCCACGGTCAAATCGAGGCTTTTGTGGGGTAAAATTCCCAAGCTGCAACTCCTTGGTTCTTCCATCCTTCCTTCAGCCCCAGACTGTTAAATGCCCCCCCCCTTCTTTCACCCTCTTTCTTTCCCCCCTCCCATCGTCCGTTGTTTTTCTTCAAGACCCTTGCCGGCTACGGCCTGGCTTTTCTCTCTTATTCTCATCCCTGCAAGCTACCGTCCCCTCTGGTCACATCACATTCTCAATTTTCTATCTTCCTATTTACTATCCCCTCTCCCCACATCCTATCATCACCCGCCACAAAGCTCCAACCCTACCTAGAGAAGCCCAGAGTTCTCTCACATACAGCTCCCTTCCACCCTGATTCTTAGCAATTGGGCCTCTTCATCTTTCTTGGTAAGTTGGGTCATTACTACCATTGTATCCTTGCACAATAATCCACCAAAATCGGAGCTGTCCACTGGCTCTCCGTGACTCGCACACCGTTCCAATGTGCATGAGATAGATGCCTTACTTATCCATTCCCTTCTGGGCCCTATTGTCACCGCCACCTGGAGTTTGGTTCATGGACTCCTCGCTGAGTTTTTCCCCAACTGACATCCGCTGGTAGCTCCATCTAGGTATTAATGGGGATCATTCTGCTGTCTATAACCGTTCCTCTTCCTATCGAAGCGGCGACCCGGTTGACGTCATAAACCCTGGCGTTGGCTTGAATGCTCATCAATATCATCATCAAAATCCATCTATTCCTCATCATAGTAACTCCCATCTGGGCACCTCCAATCCACCCTTCCTAGTTACGTCCCTGTCTGGGCGGCTAGATCTCCTACCCGTCCTAGACTAGACAATCGACGTCATCCCATCAACCTCTTTGAAACGCTCTGTCTTACTTGTGATAAGAATCATTGTTTGTTACCATGTCGAACGACCGCTCAACATCTCCAATATCCGTGCCACCCCCGTCGTCACGCCATCGTCGAGCATCTCTGGCATCGGGACTTTCTTTTACAGATTATCTTTCTAGATCAGGCAGTCAAGGGGCTGCAGCTGGCGCTCCATCTGGCTCCATGGCCAATGCGGTAACCGGTTCTCAGCCCAATCAGGGACGACGGCTGTCGATAACTACCTTGGGCCTTTCTGGTTCTCCGACCCAAACTTCTCCGTTTGGACCCCGGCACATTCGACACGGCAGTGTGTCCAGTTCTGTGGGATCAAATTCGGCGAACCTGGAGGAAGCCGTCATGGAAGATAGTGAGAACGGTCCCCCCAACGCTACCCCTAATTCCCCCTTTACACGGCGCCTCTCTTTTGGAGCACAGGCGTTGCGCGATGCCCGTGTGGGGAGCATTGGCAACGGTAGATATCCCTCTCCTACATCTTCGATGGCTGATGGGCGACGAACTGCGTCGCTGACTAGCATACCTTCTGCCCTTAGCCCCACAAGCTCAATTGCTGCAAGTACATACCAAAATTTGCCCCAGAACGATAGTTCTAACGCATCATGGCGACAATTAGGCGAAGGCTTCAACTGGTCTGAGGCTCTACGCACCCGGGCCGAGCGAGCGCCGTCTTTGGGTGTCATTTCACCTAATTCAGCTCAAAACCAAAATATGGTCAACACGAGCCAGCAAGGTCACCATCAGCGAGCTGCATCAGTTGCCTCAATGGAGCAACCGGCTCGGGAATTACCAAAGCAACCTAAGCAAAATAAGCCCGACTTTTTCCAGGAGAAGATTCTTCGAGGTGATTTCATGGACTGACTATAGGAGTAGTTTTCTTGACGCCTGATACTTGTCTCCATACTGCTCTCTTTGGTTTCGTCCCCCGCACCCCAATCATGTGTCTGTCTCTCCTCTTTCCGTTTTGTCAGGTGGAAGTCTAGGGAGGACTCAAGAGAGTTGTTAGGGTTCTGATAGAACCCAAAAAAAAGGAAACTACGTGAGATGTTTGGGGTGGGAGAAGCCAAATCAGTACAACAGAGCTGCATCAATCATTGATTGCACTGCTGACAAGTTACTGAAAAAAATGATTCCTAATTCGAGACTTCGATATAGTATGGCAAAACCTGGCGAGCTTTGTCTTAAGACTTCATTTCATTGCTTTGTTTGCTACCTTCCGGGTTTCTCTAGGCTTTTAGCTATCTTCTTGATCTCCGGTCTTCACTATTTATCTTGTTTTCTTTGAGAGCTGCTGGCCAGAGCAACGCCTTATTCCCATTATCGGGCTCTCAAATTGCCTGGGAAGTGACACCCTTGAATATTGAACGGATGAACATATTTTGATCTTTTCCATGCCACACCGTGATTAAGAAACTTTGATCATAGCCCATTGGAGGCTACCCTTCCTGGGGAATAGAATCATCTGATATACCTAGTAAGGCTCTTGATGATATGCACTAGGCCAAGGGATGACCTGTATCAAATAGTTAACAAGAAGTACCATCCTTTATTTATAATTGACATATATACCATTAATTTTGCCAAGATCACGTCATTACATGTCTCCATGGTGTAGTGGTTATCACGTGGGTCTCATACCATGTCAGTATGACTTGAAGGTTAACTTTCAGGAAATCCCAAGGCCGGGAGTTCGATCCTCCCTGGGGACAATTAATTTCTCTTTTTTTCCTCTCTCTTATTTAGCTTTTCTGTGATTGTGATACAGCCTTCTTGTCTTGACAGCATATGGAATAGCGGGGTTTGTTTTGGCTCACATTATAGTCACACCCTGTAATCTTAGAGTCACACCCTTTTAGCCGCTTAAATAGGCCTAGCGCCATTACCTGATCCACTTTGCTGGAAAGGGAAATAAAACAAATATTTATTACATTTTTAAATGATTCAGGCGGCCTCAACACTACCGCCAGTAAGGCCCTTAGCTGCCCCCATCACCTGACCCTGCCCCTATCACCTGACCCTGCCTGCCCCGATTCATTGTGGTTCTATTAATAAATTCTGCCTCTCAAAGCCGCTTAGAGTCCTGCCTCGCGTGGTGAATATCCCAGTTAACTACCTTGTCATCTATCTAGAAGCTTAATAGAGACCAATTCTTAGTATTTTTAGGCCTTTCTTTACTCTGTAGAACAACCAGTTCTTGGATATAAAGAAGTAATTTGATGGTTATAGAGATTAGATCATGGAATAGCCATCATGCCAGTAGAATGCATAGTAAGAGATTAAAAAATTATTATTCTGTGAATCACATGACATGCTATTCCTTTTTCAGTAAAGCGGGTCAAGTGACGGCGCTAGTCCCGTTTGAGCGACTAAAGGGGTCTGACTCTAAGATTACAGGGTGTGACTATAATGGGTTCCCTTGTTTTCATACTGTCTGTGTGCTTACTTCGTAATTATACTCAGGGAGGCGCTACAGACACACCGGCCAGGCTAACCACACAGCTTTTTGCCTGCAGGTGGCGTAATGGTAGAACGTTACTTGGCAAGGCTTTTATGAATAAGGAGATTGGGGACCTTCTTTGAAGTACTATTATAAAGGCTACTCGTCGCGCCGCCAACCCACCCTATTGGGTTGGGTCGGCCACCACTAGCCGCACCACCACCTCTCGCCGCATCAAAAGATGTATTAAGTAGTAATTCTTTAATAACTCAAGCAATTCAAGCTGTATAAGATTTAATTTAATATATATTCTAAAGAAATGTCTATATCCTTATATAAAAGTTTAACTTTCTAAAAATATCAAGTATTAAAAAAGATATAGATCTTTAAAATATAAAATCTTAGATATAAATTACATATAAATACATAAATATAAAAATTTATATAAAACCAGAAAAAATAAATATCAAAAAATTTCTTTATAAATATAAAACTAGATTAATTAAGCTTCTATATCATATAAAAAAAATAGTCTTTAAGCTAAATATTTAGTCTATATATATAATATAATAAAAAATTGTCTCATTTTAAGACATGTTAGCAGTAACTTTTGTATTACTTAATATGTTTTATTAAAAAGAAATTTATATATAGAAAATAGTATTATAAGCTTATATATAAATTTTTAAGTCATAGTCTTTAGAAATTGTGAAGTTATATTAATTTAAAATCATAGATTTTATATGGGATTACCTGGTGCGGCGAGAGGTGGTGGTGCGGCGAGTACGGGTTTGATTCCCGTTGTGGGTACTAGGTCCTGGCCTGCGGACCACAGCCCAAGGGGTTCCGAAGCGCCTTAGCTTAGGGGTTGAAGCGGTGAGCACTGGCAATATATAGCAAGTCACGTTACGGATACTCGCAGCAACCAATAAGAAGCTGAAGCTGGGTGCCTTGTGGACCAATCAGATGCCTTCCCGCTGCAAATTTCCCCTACCCAGGACCTAACATAGTGTTTCTCAGCGCTGCGCCCCTCGAAAATTAATCAAGAGTAGGCCAGTTTTCGAATGTATCCCTGTACTGAAGAGACTATAATATAGTAAGTAACTGTTACGTATCAGTTACGCGAAGGATTTATTCTTTAAGAGATATCTTGAATCTCTAGAAATCATATAAAAAGTCACTGCAAATATAGAATATCTGCACAGCAAGGCAACATGTGTATCTAGCCAGCTATATCAGATTAATAAATCACACACACACACCGCTTTTTTACTCCCCGTCTGGAATGTACCTGTCTGATTCAACACACTGATTAGCCAGAGACAGTAACCACCTCACGAGAATGTACAATTGTTAGATTTGTTAGATTAGACTTCAATAGCAAGTAACAAGACTTCGAGTAAGTCTCTACGCGAGTCCCTATAAGGGGCTCTGAATAGGGCCTTGCGTAGAGTCCTCTATAATCTTATATCTATACCTCTTTGTATTTTCAATCAAGGATTTATATAGAATTTCAAGACGAAAATCTCTATAAATGATAGATATTCTACCTGGCTGCTTCCCAAGGTGGTAAGCGGAGAGTAAAAAAGATGTATGGTTAACGGACCCCAGTGTGTGGTTAGCCTGGCTGGTCTGCCTGTAGCGCCCATACTTATGTGTGGACTGGTATTCCCAGAATGGCTTTAAACATAGCTTTATCGGTGCTTCCGTTGCTCAAGACCTAGGGGTTTTATAAGCTTGATGACACACATTACGATAACGTCTAAGTACGCAGAACAATCATACATAGGTGTAGGCGTGCCCTGCCCACGTAGGACTCCACATACGAGCTGTAGAATCTGTCCTCCAAAGCATCGGAATCCACAGATTATGGCTTGAAAATTCAGTGCGTAGCTTGGTCAACTATTGGCTTTCCTCTTCCTTCCATTTAACTGTGTGATTTATTGTTAAAGTGTATCTATATACTATGGAAATTGTCTATATTGAACCAACAGGGTTACAGATTCTCTATATAGCTAGTGTCTGTAGCTATTATCGCTACAGTGGTGTATTTTGTTTGTCATACCACCTGCCCTCCTCAGGAAGTATGATCCAGAAATGACCCATGTGTCATCTCATTACTGGAACTGATCAAATGCTATAAAGACGATGAGTTATACTATACGTCAGGGACTTTGGTCATTAAATGAGAAAATGCTGAGCATACATCCCACACATGCCTCACAATCAATGCATGGCCTCAAGAAAAACCACTAAGAATAACAACAAGTAAAATAATATTATCGTAGCATGATTTAATGCCTACCGACGCAGGCAGCTTCCGACACCCACTCCGAAGAACTTCCTATTTTGCATATATGGCCCAGCCGTCCTGTAGCCGAGAATGCTGGTCAAAAGAGTGCAGGATGATTGAGTGGGTCCATCCTCAACATCGATACACCAAGCGCTGGATAGAGAGAGAGAGAAACGGAAAGAGATACACTGTGATAGGAAGACAGAGCGGCTGGACAAACTGCTATTCTCACCTGCGGCAAGTGGTGTCCATGTTCAATATGGGATGCCATTTGTCAACAATTGGAATTGATCGTATCCCTTTGTTGAAACGCTCATGTATGACTTGCGGACGAGCTCCCGCATGTACTCGGCCGCTTCTCTTTCGGTCTTTTCAAGTACAAACCGATCACGAAAGTTCTTCAACGTATCGGGCTTAAAGCAGGGCAGGCCACTATCAAGCATTAACGACACAATGTGAGACAGCTTAGAACTGTATGGTCTGGAAACAAGGAATGCCTTCACCACCAGGGATTCAAACCACCTATAAGGCTGCGTGTTGGTAGGACTATAGGAGCCACCGCCGGGGAGACTTAGTCCGCTGCCGGAGCTGTTACTCGCATGCGTGTGCGTATGCTGAGTACCGCTCATCACAGCAACCATTTCAGATGTCAACTTGAAGGGCGCGCGCTCGAACCGCACGCCTCCTGGTGCAATATCGAAACAGAACCCGAAGTCAATGTGTATGATGTGACCGGCGTCGTCAATCATGATATTTCCGTTGTGTCGGTCTTTGAATTGCAGGAGATAGGAGATGACAGAGTAAGCGGCCATACTCTTTACGAAGTTTGTGCGTGCTTCCTGAAAGCGAATCGACTCCTCACCGCCGTACTTTGAGATAAAGTAGTCATACAGGCCGTTTACTGCCTCGCGGCCCAGCATATCGCGCGAGATCGAATTCGGAAGTACATCGATGACACCACAACCAGGAGCCGTTGAAGTTACTCGATATGGGAACACCCACACATCAAGGCCAACGCTAGTGAAGATGCCCCGGAAAGCGGCAATCATCTGTAAAGCCAACATGTCCTGCCGGCAATCGTCACCAACCTTGAAAATGGCTGACTGCCATACTTCATAGGTTTCTTGACTCCGATCTGGAGGGTGGTCACCGACTTCTTGGGCGGCTTTGTCATCATCCGATGATGCCCTTGTTTTTTGAATCCTGAAAGTCGCCATATACGGCGCTTTTGCGTGACTCTGGAGCGGTTTGCCGGACTTGCGATCGATTCCAACAACAACACCATCTGGGTTGCTTGGGAGATATACACCCACTTCCACCTTGACTTTGCGGAGTTCTTCCTCAATTTTTTCCTTCTTCTCTGCCTTACTTCTTTTGATGTAGGGTCGAAGCTTTCCAGAAATACCAGTGATTTCATTGAAGAAAGAAAACTCCTTTTCATAGAACCCACGCTCCTCATCTGTGAAGCTTGAAACCAAGGTATCCATGAATCCGTCCAATGTTGGTTTAAGAGGATCCGGCTAATGGTGCTTATTAATAAACGCACATCACATGGAGACCTAGTTTTACTCACAATCTGAGAATCCTCATCCTTATAGGAATTGGCTTTCATATTCCATATCACCTGGTGTGCGAATAACTGAGATAATTTAGCTGTCTCCAATATATATCGTTCGACATAGCCCAGAGCATCATATCGCAAAGCTTGAACCAACTGTGGAACGAAGTAGAAGCGAACATCAACGGAATGGCTTTCAAGAGCTTTCATCGCATACTGTAGTATGAAGGGATGATTTCCATAGGCGGGAAGGAAGTAAGTCAGGGCTTCAGTAGGATTCACAGGGGCCCAGTATAGAAGATACTATTCTCATTAGTTCTTGAAAAGTATCAATAGACAATCGACAATCGACAATCGACAAACCTTCAGTTGTGTGTGGACATCGGCAGGAAGGGTCGACCCAAACAAGATCTCGAGCGCACTGGGCTCGTCAATAGCCTTTTCCGAAAAATTGAGCACCAGCCAGCGAATGTCGTTCTTCAGCTTCGTAGACGGGAAGCGGGTGGAAAGATGTATGGCCAACCCGGGGGCTTCAGCCCATGCAAGACGCAGTAGATTTGTGGCATCCTGAAGGAGGTGTTAGATACAACTTTGCTTGACAGAGACCAATCTGCTTGGCCACAAGCCAACGCACCTCTGTAAAACTTCTGACCGCAGCTAACTGTGTCATGTGATGTTTTCGATCTGGCTCCAAGGGGTAGAGCCAGACTCTGAGACGTGACCTCTCGTCTTCAAGAAGAAGCTGGACAAGCTCCTGTCTTGCCTGGAGCGTCTTGGGGGAGCTGTGAGTGTGACAAGCAATACCAGCCACGTCTGCAAGAGCAGAAGCAACATCGCTGAGTATCCTGTCTTCGGCCTTGATTTGTAACCGATTGCCTCCAAATGACCATCTGGATACTGTGACTTAGCAAGAGTGCTCAACACAAGCAACCAGGTGAAACATACCTGGGTGGATGCTTAAACCAAACTAAGGCAGCTGACAGAATCTGATCTTTGAGCTTCCACACAAGGTTCTGATCTGGGAACCTTGTGTTCTTCAACACTTTTAGACAGAATAGAACAATACGGAAGTGCAGTTCCCTGGCTAGTGGATGGCCACTGGCTTGCACAAAAGCAACGCTCGTCTTATCAACAAGACGACAGAAAAGTGATTGGACCTGGGAGTTTCCCAACCTAACAGCAGCGAAGTGACTTTCAAAGAATTGCAGGACCCGGAAATGCGGTGTTAGGGCACTCTGGGCCTTTTGTTGGTTTTTGACCATTAGAGCCTTATCACTGGGAAGAAGGTCGATTTTGGCGAACATTGGATCCACATAGCTACGTATCCCCAAGTCAGCATCAAGTATGTTAGACAAGAGGTCTTTACTTACTTGCAAGACGGGTCAAATAGCCCCCTGCGACGTTGGATTGACCTCTCCCAAGCCCCAATGACTTCCACTAAGATTTTGGATTCTACCCTTGGGTTCTCATGCATTACACCCAGCCAGAGAGATATGCCAATATCCATCGATTCCTTCGAGAATATCTGGAAGGGTAGCTGAACTAAGTACTGAGCAAGGAAGGCAGAAGGGTCGTTATCACTGCACAGAAGGCCTGCAGCTTGTCGCAGCATATCTCGAACCTCAACAATAGGGACAGCGTCACCTGATCTGATCTGTGCGGAGAGTTGGCATAGCGTGCTCTCCATGGCTTCACTTGCAGCAAGGGGGGCTCAGAGAGCATGGAGTCTTTGTGAGCTAGTGTCCGCTTGTTAGCTCCAGAGATGTCAAAGTTCTAAGTAATACCAACCACTGAACCTAATCATTCGGTTCCTTGAGGAACCACTCTGTGCATATAAAGTCCGGTAATTTTGACGTGTGGAGTATTGAGAAATAAAATCGGAGGCAACATTTATCTTACTAATGCCATGGATGTTGATAGAGCCTGGAAGATCATAAAGTCATCAATAAGCGCGGTGTGGTTGAGTATTGAAGAGCTTTGCCTTACCAAGCCGTTGATCACTGCTCGGAATGAGTGACCCCATTTCAAGTGCAAATGAGCGCCCCAACAGGATGTTGCCGTACCCAGCATGATCATCAGAAAGGGACAGATATGTCTTGATCGGCCGTGTCAGTTGCTTGGCCAAACGTAAGGTATATAGGACATACCTGAAGCAGGCCTTTGATATCCAGAGGTGCAATATCCATGGCTGCCGCTACCCAGGCCTTGGATCGTTCAAGCAAAACATCCAATGTCCTTTTTCTAAAATTATAGTTATCGGGTAGATCGGCCTTGACCATTCCCGTGGGTGAGGTAAATGAAGGGTTCCATTCGAACTCGTCTAGTTCTCCTTCCAAACATGAACGCCACATGACCGTCAAGAGTTCGAGTAAAGCAAATAGCGAGTGCTTTTCACACAGGGATGATGGACACACATTTATGACCTTGTTAGCACAAAGCACAGCGACATTCTGTACCCTTTCAACACGATGACTGCAAGCAATGAAAAATCCAGCTAGTTCTCTTGATAAGAACGGGGCAGAGAAATCTTCATACTTCCCGGAAAGCGTTAATGAGAGGTAACAAGCCACTATCTTTTCCGCAATAGCACCCATGCAACTAGCCATTTCTGCGGTGGCTAAGACCGGGTCGCGGAAGTAATCGAGGAATCTGGTACAATTTCCGGTTAAGGCACGAAGATTTTCGACCAAAAGTGTAGCATTGAGAAAGACGACCTGTGGATAACTTAAGCGCTTTACTTCAGCTTCATGACCAGGGAGCTCAGTAATCAGGTCGCGCTTTTGCTCCGAAAGTCGTTGCGAGCTCATTCCACGTCTAAGGATCGTATTTAGCTCAACATCGCTTTCAGTCGCCTCCATACGAGCTTCGGAGACAAGGGGTGGTGAGTGCTTTGCGAGCAAGCGCAACTCTTCGAAATGACTTTGGCCGACAGCTGAGTGGATAGATATTCCATGTACCGCGATATTAAACCATGCGTCACGGAACAAAGTAGACACATCCTGGTCGTAATCTGCAACTATCTGTGCATTTCCCAGCTGACTTTCCTCGGAAGAGACGAGCAAAGCTAGAGGTCTTAAAAGAGGGCTGATTTCATCAGCTGCAAGAGCAAGCTCCTTTTGTCGCTCATTATCGAGATCGGTAGCATCACCCTTGTTCACAATATTCTCCAGCAAGTGAACCAAATATACATTGTATAACGGTGAATCTCTTTTCAGTGTGACAGAGAGATATGTCAAGGCGCTCTTAACAGCAGCAATAACACCGCTATAAGCTCTGGCAACACCGTCTCGGTATGCTCGATCGTAGAACTTGAGTAGAAGCTGAAACTCAGCTTGCCCAGTGCTCAATGATATGGCAGCCGTCTCTGTGATGATAAAAGCATCGATGGTAGCATTCACCCTCCCAATTTTTTGTAGCAACATGGACTGTGCCAAGGCGCCTATTTTCTCATCATTGCAGCTAGTGGCAATCGTTACAATAGCCCGGACAACATTCTTATACGATAGATTATTTGCTTCGCCATCAGCTGAGAAGGAAACCACACTGCCAGTTCTTATCGTTGAAAACGGGAGAGATGCACCCCCATGAACCGCAGTATCTCCCAGCAAGTGGCTTTGATACGATTTTTCAGTGCTTGATCCGGAGCTCAGAACGTTCCCTAATGAGTAAAGAGTAGTGATGACGGCGTCTTGGGAAAGAACACCAAGAATTTGTGCAAGACATCTCCCAGCAACGGAGCCGGTATACCCGGTCGGCGCACCACCGTCGACAATAAACCTCAGGAGAGAGCGGCTTCCTGAGGATGCGACGCTCACAGAAGCCTGCGAGATGATCGCCATGCTTCTCAGAGCAGCTGTTGCTAAATCTGCCTGTGCCATTTGGTTTGGGTCCACAAGTGTGTCCTCTAGCCAGGAAAGAAATTCGTCCTTGTTCGTCGTATCCTCACACACGATAATACAGGAAAGGTATCCGATTAACGCCAGAGCTTTCATAGAGAATGCAAGCCGCTGCTGCCAAGGAGAGCCAAGTTGTAGATAATCTGATCCATCTTCGAGGAGCTGAAATTCTTCGGCGATGATGGCTGCCACACGATGAACAAGGGCAATCTCACCATCGTCGGGACTCCTAGCGATGCCCGTGTAATTCAAGCAGCCGTGCAAGAATTCATCTTCCGATAAGCCATGTGCTCCGACCAGAGATGTGACACATGCCTTGACAAATTTCATAAATCCCTCTTGTAGTAGCATGGCCCCTAAAGGACGTCCATCAGCATCATAACGGCGAGTATATTTTCTCCACTCCCTAAGCAGATTATCGGGCAATGTTGCATTCCGCACAGTCGACGAGGCGGTCTCCACGGCAACCAAAAACTGTTCACAAAGCATGGATCGCAATTTGTTGACTATTTGTAGCTTCTCACTGGCAGACAAGAATGAAGTAAACTCGGCCGCAGCTCCCAAGAAGCCAACGAGGGAGACGGATACTGACAGCACGCCAAAAGACTCAAATTCAGCATCATTTCTATTTGCTTCCGAATGGTAGCGATGAAGAGGTGCCACTGCTTTAATAGCCTCTGCACAATTGTGCAAATATCCGTTAAAAGCACCAACCACGGCATCATGTAATGATGGGTAGCTTGAACCCAGCGAGAGGAGAGCCAGTGTAAGGTTATGAGTGAGATTCTCCCAAGGGGAAGGTTTCACATTATGCATGAATGGTGAAGGGCGGAAAAGTTGACTATGGGACTCGGGCAGGTACTGAGATAACAGTGAGGCTAGTCTTGAGGCATGCTCGAATTTTGTCACCGAAGGAGATGCTTTACATAAAGCAACAAGTACATCGAGCTCTCTCATGCCCTGTGAGAGTCAGTATTAGGGACTACTCTAATATGCTGGAGCAAGAAGAAAAACAAACGAACCATAGGCACCCGTGATGTAGGGGCTTGGGTTTGTAAGATACTATTGAGGGTATCGTTCGACTGATAGGCCGAGGGTAGCGTCTGCTGAGCGAGCCGTGCTATATCAGAGTCGCTTCCGCATTCTGGTTTCTTGACTGCTAATGCCGCAAGCTTCTCCAAAGCAGAGGCTCTGATGGTCGACAGACTACATTCTCATCAGCACAAATCTGTTCCCCAGGGACTTCTGGTAACTCGCTTACTCATCCATGGTGGAAGACGTCTCCTCCTGACATGAATTGTGTTGGAAAGTGGATTATGCAGAGTATGTCCTATCCTGTACTTCGTAAGGCGATGTTGGAAAGGTAGCAGCCCCTTATCGGAGGTTATGCGTCTTAGCGTCATGTACCTACTACTACGGTAGAAGAGCCTAGGGGCTCCGGGTTTCTCAAGGAGTACCTCGGTACGGCAGACACGTGGGCCTCGAACTTCTTCGTACTACGCCGCAGGCGTATGGAGACTCTTGGCTCCTCCGAATTTTAGGGAGCCCAGGAAAAGAATAAGTTTTTTTTTCAGTATCGTCTGTGTTGCGATCGGTGGGGAGTGAAGAATACTATTCTTGCTCTTGCTCTCGCCCTCGCCGTCGTAGGCGTGTTTGATCGGCCTTCTCTGCTTGTTTCTGTTAGTCGTACGGAGTACTCCATATATAAAAACCTCTCCCAGTTGTTAGATATACACTATCTAGGCTACTTCTACATAGGTACTAACTACTAGGTAGGCAGTAGTGGGGTGATCAAATTATCTCGCATGGCGTAACAGTTACGAGTTATGACATAGTCGCCCTCATAACATGGGAAATTGACCATGAAGAGCCCTGCATTCATATGATGGCCAGGTGCACTCTATGAAATTTATAACCAAAGTTAGTTATGTTTCATGCAAGTTGTGGAAATACGATGTGCAAAGGGATGTACATGAAAGCGGTGACGGTAATATTATGGAACGATAGTAGTGACCTAAATAGTACAGTAGTACCTTGACTCGAGCTCCTCACACACTCAAGGATTGTTTATGACGAAACTTTCTGTACGCCGCAGCCTTGTCTCGTTCCTACCATACCTAAGTCACTCTTGTCAGTTTTCCACACCGAACCTAGGTTCTTTCCAGCTTCTTTCATTTATCATTTTTGTTTTCTTCTTGCCCCTTCCATTTGCCCTTACTCGTCGTTCCAGCAATTGATCTTGTTTTGTTTCATCTTTATTGATTGAGCGTTCACCTCCTTTTCCTGGAGTACAAAAGGGATCGAGAAATATAAGAGGTTTCCATACACTGAATTCCCCTTTGAGTCTTGGGAAGGAAAATCGAGCTCTATTGTGGTTGTCGGATTAGTAGGATGTGAACAGGCAACATAATGACACCACAGAACGAGAAAAGCTCTCTCAAACGTGGCAGGGTATGTCTATGTCTTAGTACCTTTTTTTTCATGGAACTGATGATGGTATAAATGTATAGGCGATAGCAGATAACGATTTGCAATATCTCAAAAAGCCTCGGCGCTCTGAGAGGATCAATTCCCGAAGCATATCACAAGCTTTAGACAGCCAGTCGTATTTGCCCACCCCATTGACTCAACGGGAATCGACTGCTACCGACAGCGGAAAGGAGGCAACTGCCCCCCCAAACGGATCTAGCCAGGTCTTGCATAGACGTACGCCCTCTAATTCGGAACCCTTGCACGCTAGTTCATCACCCCCTGGTGATACTCAAGCCCTTTCCCAGTTCGTTTACCCACCAAGAGCATTTGCGGATGAAGTCGAAGATGAAGCCGCAGAGGGGGTCTGGGGTTATCTAATCCCCCTTGATGATAAGGTTCGACATGCTCTAGTATTGAGGAAACGCGGGAGTTGCGAAGAACGCACAAACACAGAACCCACGACTAAGGCTAGAAAAGGGGCCCCGAGAAAAAGTAAAGATTCGGTACATGATCAAGGTCATTTTCAGTCACCAGGCGGATATCTGATAGGTCGTCACCACGAGTGCGGTAGGTATCTATACCAGAAAATCTTGGATGGGTATCTAACGAAGCTTATAGACCTGGTGATTAACATTCCTACCGTGTCGAATCGCCATTTTTTGATATTCCCGGAGACTAGAAAGGGGGATGCTGTCGCAATTCTGGAGGATCTTTCTAGCAATGGTACATTTGTCAACGATGCAATCGTGGGCCGAAACAATCATCGTGAACTTGAAGATGGTGACGAAGTTACTATCTTAGATGAAGCACGTTTTGTTTTCAGATACCCCCGGACGAGAGACACAAATCGTTTCCTCCAACAATACAGAGTTCTCCAACAGCTAGGGCAAGGTCACTTTGCCACAGTCTACCTTTGCATAGAACGGGCTACAGGGACTCGATATGCTGTGAAAGTTTTTGAAAGGCGGTCTAGCGATTCACAGCGCTCACAAACTGATATTCTCCAACAGGAAATTGGCCTTTTGATGGGAGTCAGTCATCCAAATCTGCTCTGTCTTAAGGACACATTCGACGAGAGCGATGGTGTATACCTTGTTTTGGAGCTTGCCCCAGAAGGTGAACTATTTAACCTTATTGTTAGCAAAAGAAAACTCCCAGAGAATGAGACCCGCCATATATTTCTTCAACTTTTGGAAGGGCTAAAGTATCTGGTATGTTTATCTCCATGCCTATAACCCCCTTTGTTCTTCAACAATGATAACTAAGGTGAAGGACTAGCATGACCGTGGTATCGTTCACAGAGACATAAAACCCGAAAACATTCTTGTCACAGACAAGAAGTTGACCGTGAAACTTGGTGATTTTGGACTAGCCAAGATTATTGGCGAGGATTCATTCACAACATCATTGTATGACATGTCTCCTGATATATTTGGATATCATTGCTAACAGGCGTCTAATATAAGGTGCGGAACACCAAGCTGTGAGTTGCCTAAGTCTATTTTGAACCAAAACCATGATGCTTACTTTGTAGATGTTGCGCCAGAGATTTTGGAAGAGTCACGCCACCGGAAGTACACAAAAGCTGTGGATGTTTGGTCACTTGGGGTTGTTCTATACATATGCCTTTGTGGATTCCCCCCATTTTCCGACGAACTGTTTACACCTGATCGTCCCTACACTCTAGCACAACAGATAAAGCATGGGCACTTCGATTATCCATCTCCATATTGGGATGCTGTGGGCGATCTGGCATTGGACCTGATAGACCGAATGCTTACAACCAATGTCGACGACCGAATCACAGTGGATGGATGCTTGGAACACCCATGGGTAACAGGAAACTACCCCACTGCATCTGATAGCACAGATGGTTTGACTGGCGCCTTAGGGAAGTTGGACTTCTCAAAAAGGAAACTATCACGCGAGAGAACACTTCTCAGCAACATTAACAATGTCCTATACAGTGAACACGAGCAGGAAACGGGTGCTCCTGTTAAAGTTTTCCGCGGGAATGATGCCGGAAAGCGCGTGCATAACTACCCGGCAAGTATTACACAGGAGCGTGAAGCATCCCCGAACGAAAACAGTGCTCCCAAAGACTTTCTCAATCTTGGGACACGGGGTGATCCAATCTTGTTTGATCACAAAGCGGCAAATGGCCCTAAATGAAAAAAGAGTGTCACACACACCTGCTGATTTACTGAGGCCATCGGTTTGATAGGAACTGTGGGAAACATGCTGTTAGGCCCGACCGATCTGGACCCGTCACTGGTTGAATGTGGCGCATGTCACATGTACTCGAGGACATACAGAGTTGTCAAGTCAGTTATCTTATGCTTGCAAAATAAGGGCCTGCTTCAATTGCTAGGCAGTCAAAGAATGATGTAAGATCAGTTATTGAATTTAGAATAACGAAGAACGGACAAGAGGATTACTCCGCACTGCAGTATGGGAGACTACCAGTAAAACAAACAACATACCTACATACTAGAGGCACTATCTCAGGTAATCTCAGGTACAATAAACCAATAAACAAGCCCTACATTGATGGCTTTAGCTACCCATCTCTAAGGTAAGGCAATCTTGGTACTCCGTACACAGTTGGTAAATAGTATCTAGTAGATCAACGGCCTCTATACTGTACAGAGATGGGCCAGGGGGTAAGATGGACCTGGATCCACTCCACTAGGCGGAGTAATCCGTACGGAGCAGTGGTACTCCGTAGCCCGTACCTTACAGGATTGGTACGCCCGAAACTGCGGGTCAAGGCCACTTTACTAAGGACGCTCACTCACTGGCGCTGTCATTTTTCTTCTTGTCCATTCTCTCCTCCGATACGTATATGCGTGTTTCTGGGCCATTGCAAGCAACAGACAGGCATCTACCGCGTATCTTCCACGCCGAGGCCTAGGAGGGTGCCCCTGCACGAGTCACTCTCCCTTGTGAACAATACACCCCCATTGGACCGTTGCAAACATTTTGGTCCCGTTGTTGCGCCTCAATGGGCTTTCTCGCAATCATTCTCGACAGCCTCTGCGAGCGCTGCTCGGATACCTCAGTTCTTGTGCTTTGTGGCGTCGGGTTTCTATCACTGCTTGTCGTGTCTGTTATTGTCAATGTCTTGAGACAGTTTGTTTTCAAGAACCACAATGAGCCCCCTGTGGTATTTCACTGGTTCCCATTCATAGGTAGCACCATCAGCTATGGCATGGACCCTTATAAGTTCTTCTTTGATAGTCGTGCGAAGGTATGTCTCGATTCCTACTGACAATCTACCCGCCTTTTATCTTTCGCTAACCTATTACATACGCAGTACGGCGATATCTTTACATTTGTTCTCCTTGGCAAGAAGACAACGGTTTACCTAGGCACCAGGGGTAACGACTTCATTCTAAATGGAAAATTGCGTGATGTTTGTGCCGAAGAAGTCTACTCTCCACTCACCACACCTGTGTTTGGGCGCCATGTTGTCTATGACTGTCCGAATGCCAAACTGATGGAACAGAAGAAGGTAAGATTGGGTGCCAGGAAACTCATCAACATACTTACTAATGGAAGTAGTTCGTCAAGTTCGGTCTTACATCTGATGCGCTGCGTTCGTACGTACGTTTGATCACAGACGAGGTGGAAGATTTTGTCGAGCATTCCGCAGCTTTCAGAGGGACCAATGGCGTTTTTGACGTCTGTAAAACAATCGCCGAAATTACCATATACACGGCCTCACGTTCCCTTCAAGGAAAGGAAGTTCGGAGCAGATTTGATTCTACCTTCGCCGAACTGTACCATGACCTTGATATGGGATTTGCTCCCATCAATTTTATGCTTCCCTGGGCACCCCTTCCCCACAACCAGAAACGTGATGCTGCACAGCGGAAGATGACCGAAACATATATGGAGATCATCAAGGAGCGTCGTATGGCTGGTAATGAGAAGGACTCTGAAGATATGGTTTGGAATCTTATGTCCTGCATATACAAGGATGGCACACCGGTTCCTGATGAGGAAATCGCACATATGATGATCGCTTTGCTTATGGCTGGCCAGCATTCCTCGTCGTCGACGGCTTCATGGGTTGTTCTACACCTTGCAAGGAATCCAGATATCATGGAGGAGTTGTACGCCGAGCAGATCCGTGTGCTTGGTTCTGATCTGCCCCCTCTTACTTATGAAAACCTGCAGAAACTGGACCTGCATGGGAAAGTTATCAAGGAAACACTACGCATTCATGCACCAATCCATTCAATAATCCGCGCAGTTAAGAATCCGATGCCCGTGGATGGTACTTCATACGTGATCCCACCTTCCCATAATGTTCTTTCGTCGCCTGGCGTCACTGCAAGATCAGAGGAATACTTCCCTAACCCCCTGAAATGGAATCCCCACCGCTGGGATGAAACGATTGCAGCCAATACAGAAGACGAAGAAAAAATCGATTATGGGTATGGCCTTGTCAGCAAAGGTACTAATAGCCCATACCTTCCATTTGGTGCTGGGCGCCACAGATGTATTGGTGAACAATTTGCCTATGTGCAACTCGGTGCAATCACGGCCGCTTTGGTGAGGATATTTAAGTTCCGTAATCTGCCAAATATCAAGGACATCCCGGAAACAGACTACTCAGTAGGCTACCCTTCCCCTTCATGTCTTCGGCTATCGTTCTCTAATGTGCATAACTGACCAACGTTAGTCTCTTTTCTCCAAACCTGCTGGCAAGTCAGCTATACAGTTTGAGAGGCGCAGTTCTACAACCAAATCATAACAGCCTGCCAGTTTACTGCATGAGGCATGCATCTTTCTGATGAATAATTCTAAGTACAATGTCAATGGTCTCCAAATGGCCATTCCTTTGTATTCTCTTTTGTTCCACCAGGGGCTCTATTGCCTGGATTATTTATCGCATATAATGGCTGAGTGTACAGTATATTGATCCAATGTAATAATTAGGAAGTCTGCCTGAGTAGCAAAACGTTTTTGGTGTGCAAAAGGAATAGAACTTGGGGATTACCATTGTTTACAATTCGTTAACTTTTCTGCCGGCTGGAGCACGTCATTTTTTTGACGACATCGGAAGAATGAAAGCCCAAACAAGAACAGTCAATAATTGAAAGATATAGTACATGTGAGATAGTTCAACATTGGCGCCCCTTTGAGATACAGTAGAAGTAAACAAGTATGTATGTGCCCTGCATTGTATAGATCTAGATCCCCTTCTTCCTCTCTTCGCTTCGCTTCTTGGCCCGGACTTCAGCACGTCTCCTTTCACCGCCGTCCACTTTGTGGCCGAGCTTGTCTTCCCACATACCCTCCTCAACCTTAATCAAGGCCGCACAACCATTTGATCCTTTGATGGGTTGGAGATATGGTCCACTAATAATTGAGCCGTCGATGATCCTCATGTGAGCAAACTTCTTCGGTGTTTTTGTTGGGTCATGGGTGTAGTTGGCAGCATCTGGTGGGATGTTGACGACGACTCGTCTCATCCCGGGTGACAATGTAGCCGAAGAATTCACAGAACGCGATGATTCCTTCTTTGAGGTTGTATCCTTGAGCGCGAGCGGAACTTCAACAATTCGGAGCTGCGCAACGCCATCGACCACGTTTTCCAGGTCTCCACCGGGCCCATAGATCCCATTCCTGAACTTCTCCCTCTTGCGAAGCAGATATCGCCGCTGACGTGCGGGCTCAATGCCCAGTTCCCGAAGCTCTGTGGAGCTCATAGTGAAGAGCTCATCCCATGAAGGCAGCTTGCTCGCATGTTTGGACATACCGCGGCCGATTAACGTAAGAAAGGTTTGGACGTCAGGAACGAAGGGCGTTGGCGACGGCGGAGAAGGGCCGGGTGTATTCTTATGGAATGTTCGTATAAATTGTTTGCTGATGGTCAAAGACCTGAGCACTTGCAAGGACAAGCGGTGCGAATTGCGCGTCGCCATGATTCGGTCAGGCTATTCTTGCAACTTCTTAGGATGTTCAATGTCGTATCCGAGCCGGCGATTAGACTCTCTCAAGGTTTCTATGGAAGAACAGGAAATATCAGGGTTGTAGAGTTGCAGAATGTATCCGGCCCCTTCCCCGTCGTTGGGCTTCCTCACTTTGGTAGCGTAGTAGAGTTAGATATCTCTCTCGGCCCGGACCATTCTCGAGAAATTTCGGCGATATGAGCAGCCTCGGGATCAACAAAACTCCGAGCTTTAACTTATGCGACGGTCCTCGTACACGTATGCCAGCCAGTCCAACATCTTTGATTCTTCATTTTCACCTGTCGCCGATTATCATAACCTGATATGCTACTGCCGCGCCAGCGATACATAAATCTCCTTCTCCGCTCCTTACCCATCGAGATCAGGTGCATATAAGCAAGCAATGGCGGTTTCGCCTTTGATCCCTTACGCTTTGTCAGTTGCAGCTCCAAGCTCGAATGAAGCCAGTAAGTTGGAGAAGGCGCCTGCCGTCGACTCACCCAATAAGCAGAGGGGCGCATTGTCGCCTCGACCGATGACGATCCCTGACCGTGAGATCACGGAACAACTAAACGAGGATGTGAGGCACAAGTATATTAAAGGTACCAGTCTCCCATCGCTCACCTTACTCCCCAATTTTACTACTCCCGTCACCTCTTCTTCATGTAATCACCACGATCATGGTATCGCTAATAATGACCATCTTGCAGACAAAAAATTGGGTGAGGGTACTTATGCTGTAGTATTTCTCGGGCACCTCCGCACGGATCCGTCCTCATTCGTTGCCATAAAGAAGATTAAAGTCAACGCCGAATACAAAGATGGGCTTTCAATGGACGCGATTCGGGAAGTAAAATACCTGCAAGAGCTTTCTCATCCCAACATAATTGCACTCCACGATGTTTTCTCATCCAAGGATCAGAATCTCAATCTGGTCCTAGAATATTTGCCGCGTGGTGATCTCGAGATGCTCATTAGGGACAGCAACATCCACTACGGTGCTGCTGATGTCAAATCGTGGATGGGCATGCTTGCCAGAGGTATTTGGTTTTGTCACGAGAATTTCATCTTGCACCGAGACATCAAGCCCAACAACCTTCTTGTCGCAGCCGATGGGGAGGTTAAACTGGCGGATTTTGGTTTGGCCAGGTCGTTCGCTGACCCATATTTGAACATGACACACCAGGTTATTACACGCTGGTATCGACCCCCGGAGCTACTATTCGGTGCGCGACAATACTCTGGAGCCGTCGACGTTTGGTCTATGGGCATGGTCTTCGCCGAACTTCTTCTACGGGTTCCATTCATCGCAGGGAATTCCGATCTAGATCAAATCTCCAAGATTTGCGAAGCTTTCGGGACACCAACTGAGGACAACTGGCCAGGAGTAACCCGGTTGCCGAACTATATACCTGCGGATCCAAATCATTTTGTGCCCTTACAAGGACGGGAGTTTTTCCTTAGGCAGTTTCCAACAGCTGGACCTGTTGGCGCAGATTTGCTCATGTCCATGTGTACCTTGGATCCAAAAAAGCGGAACACTGCCTACCGAATCCTAAAACACGGCTGGTGGCTTACTGAACCGAAGCCAACCAAAAAACAAGATCTTCCTAGAAAAATTGGCGGTCCTAAAAAGATGGGCAATGATTTGACCAGGCGGGGTGGGGAAGTTGATGGTGGTTCTTTCAAACATGCTGCTCGACAGTTGGATTTTGCTACGGCAAGGGAGTAATTGATATTTGGGTGTCATTCCAGGCCCAAAGGTTTAAACGCAGCTTTTAATGCATATTCCATAATGCAATGATATGGGGTGTCGTATACTGATACTTCATGAAAACCGGGTGGTCGGTAGCATACACCAGATGCAGATCCTCGGCTTCCACAGGCTCAAAAGAACACCAGGCGATACAATTTGAAAGTCAATCTCCGTCTCATCAGAAGCATAGCGAACCATGCCGACAAGCAAGTAGGGTCAATCATCCATGATGCTGTTTAACTCGTCTACCTCTACAGGGATGGCCACGATAGATGCAGACAGGTCCTTGCTGGTGAAGTTATTTATTTATTTTTTCAACATGAGTATTCTCACCAGCTTTGTGGATTGTGTCGTGGGGGGGAGGGAGTTGCGCCAAAACAACTTACCTGCGTGGTTTCCATGTCTACTTGAACTACTTGCAAGTAGCATGTTTCTAGCAAAATATTCACCAGCGAGCACCTGGATATAATATTCGGCCGGATACTCCTACGGAGTATATAATCCGTAAGTAGCTAACTGGCTCGCAGAGTACCTAACCCATGTGGGACAAACGGACCTCAACAACCCTTGAGGCGAAAATTTTCATGGCTAAAAGTGCACTGTTTTCATCATTATGCATATGCTCTAACTTCAGGAAAACCCTTGAGTAATACATGTCTAGAGGACAGGCTCTATATAGCCCCGTGAATGGTATTCTCTTGGCATTACATAGCATGGAAGCGAGCAATCGCTCGTAGTAATGATTAACATTGTTACCGGCCCGTCTTGATAGGAAACTGATCAACATCCCCCCTATCTGTGTAGGAGACTGCGACACTGCACCTGATGAATAATACTTCGCAGGGCATGGATGATTCCCCCCCCCCCCCCCCCGCAAAAGTTGTTTGGGAAGTAGGTACAAAGAACTCTTCAGACTACTGGGATGTATGGAGTGAATACGGAATACTATATAGAGTGGGTGGTCAATAAATCGGTTGATGGTCCCCAAATTTTCAAGAACCCCTTGCAAGATCTAATCAAACATTGAAGAACCCCCTCCCATATGCCGGCCCCCAACCGAGGGGGTGTGGAGAGGGGTTTAAAATTGAGACACTTACATTACTTTTCAACTAAGTGGTCTCAGGATTTCTCACAGGGAACGTTGTACTGCGAACAGAGGTTTACAGTAGTGTACTAGTACAGCAACTTCTACTAGTATTTCTTATAAAGCGAGCCACTTACTTACTTGGGAATTATTTAGGTGAAGACTGCTATATTTATGGGCTTATTATACAACGTTTTCGCGCGGTAGTATCTAGGTAATGAATGTATAGAAGACTTTCTGTTAGATGATACCGAGTAAGCGTTTTCTTTATTATGATACATTAGTTACTGTCCGCACAATACATGTTCTTTCCAGACGATATCAGCAGTGCGAATCATATCTACCTGCTACAGTATCTATTCCAGTAGAACCAATATAATATGCTTAAGAGCTAGGACAGACAGCTTCCTCGTATGTGTATTAAGAGAAGCAAGTGTATATACACCGTACAGAGAATTCAGAAAATCTATAATGCAGATAGGTAACATATTGGCGCTGTTCTTCATTTACTGTAAGTTTCCAGATACCGTGTACATCTTGCAAGTACTGTACAGAGGGACCAAGCACAGAAACGATCTACTGCCTGAGATTGAAGCATGCGATTAAAGTGATGCACTGCCATGGCACCTGCGGCAGCAACAGTTAATTCATCAAATAGTGTTGGTAGTGTCTTCCACCGATAGCAACAAGTTATAACACCTCGATACCTAAGGTCCTCTAATCGGCCTCTATCACGAGTTACTCCTACCTAAGCTACCAGGGTCACTCTATCCGTCCCGCGTGGGACTAAAGGTTAAAGGACCAGCCCTTGGAGCCTCCTTCAACCCAACGCCTCGCGTTCGAGGCGAACAGCGGCGTACGGTGCCCTTTACCTACCTGAACGGATTTCTCGACCACCCATTCTTTTGGCCGTGCCTGATTTGCATCCTGACCTCCCCTCAGAATTCAACCACCCCGATCAGCGCCCCCTTCAGTGGCCATCATTAGGCAGTGTCGCTTACTGTTTGCTGCTGTTGTTATAAGAAAAGAGGTCCTGCCCAAGCCTGACAGGGCTGGAACAGGATCGTTGACGTCGGCTCATAACTTACACACGTACCCAACACAACAAGATCCAGTTGTCGAGGACTTTTGGACACTCCTGTATCGTGCGCAAAGCCGAGTGCCTGTTTACGCTACCAACCCCTATCTCAGCCCACGACACCTAGGTCTTTGAAGGATTTGCGCAACGTCTGTCGCAATCTCGACTTTGAAAGGCAAGGCTGCTTTATATTCATGTGAGTCCAATAGTCAGGTTCCTCTCCTACACCAGGTATGCCTGTTTTTGTTGTGTTGCCCCCCCCCTACCCATTCACATATCAAACCAGGTTCTTCTGCAAAGCAACAAAGGCGTCGCGAAGCAGTTGTTACCTGGCTCGATCGATCCGGAAGTCTCCAGTTCGAATTATTATGTCCCTTGTATTGGCGTGTCTAACCTTGAGTTGTTTTTCGCATAGCTCGACTTCCAAAGTTCAACTTCGCGCATGCGGATGGCCACCACCAGAAGTACCGAATAACAAGCTGGCATCCATTCATATGCCAAATATAAACAGGATTGCCTATCGATTCCTGATATAATACTAGCCATCACCTGGCTCAGATGTCTAGTTTACAACCGTCGTCGCGGATGGCCTCGATCTCTTCGACTGGGCCCTGCCCTCAATCTCCGGCTCCAAAGTCACGAAAGAGCCTACCTATTCCATCTGACTCGTCAAGAGCGCCGTCTCCATCTCAGGTGTCTATCCAAACACGCACACCATCTAGCCCTAGACAAACTCCCGGCAGGCCCCTCTTGTCTAATCTAATGATTAACGCCAGCACATCGAGGACTGTCACCGGTAGCCGAGTTCCTAGTAGTCCTGACAAATCGCTGCGAAGGACCATCAGCATTGCAGCGTTTCCTCAGCCACCTAAGGCAGGAAGCCGCCCTTCTACTGCATCTTCTGTCTCGGGAATTCAAGGTGTGCATTCATCTGGGAGCGTAAAGGTGAGGAAAAGCTCTAGGCTAAGTACTGGAACCACCAGTAGCTATCGGAGTTCCAAAACAACGTCGTTATTAAGCGGTGCCGGGGATGCGAAATCTGTTTTGACTATGGAAGCGCGAGATACAGAAGCATCACCTTCACAAAGCAGAAGCTCATCTGCACAGGGGTCTTACTCAACGAGTGCGACTACTTTTGAGGATGCCGATGAAGGCCAGGGTGTCCCGAAGTCAACATCCAAGCTGAAAGAGACAAAAGGAAATGTCATTGTGAGCGTCCGAGTGCGTCCTGACGCGAATGGGGGCGAAATTACGAAGACTACTGAATGGATGGTAGATGGAAGACAAGGCGTCATCTCCTACAACGGAAGGGAGAGCGGTGATTATTCGTATGGTAAGAATATCCGGGCTGTCTTGTTCGAGCCTTACAAGGAATTTCTGTTGCTTACCTCTCACTTCTTTCTCCTTCTCGTCAGATAACGTGTTCCCTCCTCATGAACACAATGCCAAGGTCTACGATGCTGCAGCAAAACGCCTAGTGAGGCGAGTAATGGAAGGATACCATGGTACAGTCTTCGCGTACGGCATGACTGGTACCGGCAAGACCTTTTCTATGCAAGGGACTGCAACCTCCCCCGGAGTGATACCATTGGCAATAACGGATATATTCTCCTTTATCAGGGAAACGCCACATCGAGAATTTTTACTACGTGTCAGCTATCTCGAAATATATAATGAAAAGATCCACGACCTGCTGTCAGCCTCGGTTTCTGGTGGGCCCACTTCCCCTCAACAGGAGGAAATCAAGTTGCGCGAAGACAGCAAACGAGGTGTATATGCAACGCCTTTGAAAGAAGAAATCGTCCAAAGCCCGACACAGCTTCTCCGGGTGATAGCGAGAGGCGACCACGCTAGAAGGACCGGCAGCACGCAGTTCAACTCTCGTAGCTCTCGAAGTCACGCAGTTGTCCAAATTGTTGTCGAGAGTAGGGAACGGGTGCCCGCCGGAGCTTCTCAGGACAGAAGATCAGGCTTGGTTCCAGGCGGAGTTCGAGTATCAACGCTTAGTCTGATAGACCTTGCTGGGTCAGAACGCGCCGCAGACGACAAGGAGCGGCGTACTGAAGGCGCTCATATAAATAAGAGCCTACTCACTTTGGGTACTATAATCTCCAAGCTCTCGGAAGCTAGAGATAGGGCCAGCAATCCGACCGACAGAGAAGGGAAGCATCTGCCATATCGGGATAGCAAACTCACGAGATTGCTACAACCGGCCTTGTCGGGGAACTCACTTGTCAGTATACTTTGTACGGTTCAGCTAGGGGGGACAGCCAAGTCGCATTCCGGCGAAACCCTCAACACCTTGAAATTTGCGGCTCGTGCCAAGAATAGCATTGTCAGTCATGCTAAACGAGCGGAAGAAGCATTTGGTAGCGGTGGGGGTGATGCAGGAAGCCGGGTTCTCCTGGAACGCTACCGTATGGAGATCCAGACACTCCGTAATCAGTTAGAAAGTCAGACCAAGGCCCAGGCTGAGAAGGAGCTGAGGCTGGAGGAACAACAACTTGAACAAGAAGCACAGATACGCCATGAGGAGCAAATGCTCGAAATGCAACTTGCTCGAACAGCCCTGAAAGAGAGAATCGAACATCTAAATCGCCTGATTTTGTGTTCAAAGTCTACTGGCGTCAATACCCAGGGAAACCTATCCGCTCTTGGCCGTCTCTCTAGGATGTCTACTGGATCTCGATCTTTGCGATCTTCACTCAGCCAATCTACTTTAGGCGCATACGGACACTCGTCATTGCGACCGATCTCCTTTCTCTCTGTCAACAGTAATGAACCTTCTGGGAATCAACACTTTTCTAGTGGGCATCTTGGGCACGAAGAGGAGGATTTTATTGGCGAGTTCGCAGATGGGAAGGCAAGCGCTCAGAGACAGATTGCCGCTTTACAGGCTGACCTTAACGATAAAAATCGCTATATCTCTACCCTGGAGAGACGGCTCTTACAAGCGCGACGCTCGAGTCATTCCCGCATGTCCATAGGTATGAAAACCGGAGGTGGCACTCCTGATGCCCCCGATGGTTTAGCTTTACTACGGGAGAAGGACTTGGAGATCAATGAACTTCGCCTACAGCTGGATGACAAAGACCGGATGCTCGCTGCTCTCCGCTCTGCTGCTCGACATCGAGATCTAGCCCATTCAGCAGCTGACGCATTCGTCCTCGACACAAAAGATAAGCATGGGCGTCAGGAGCATCGTCCTGGTGGCGATGACTCGCCGGCTTACGACTCAGCTGTTTGTCTATCTTCGCCAATCAATGATGAAGACCCGGCAGAGAAAAAAAGAAGCATGGACGACGTGTCGCGTATTCTAGATGAAATGATTCAGGACCGCGTTGAAAGTGGCCAATTAATCCAGGGCTCTCATGGAAGTGTTCGTGTTGCCGCAGAAAGTCGGCGTACATCTGAATCAATAGCCGGTCTGCCAGGCTTGAGCATGAGTGCTACAGATTTGGAGGGTTCTGGCTAAGGTCAATATCTACAAGTTACGATCTCTGTACTCTTATTCCTCGCTTTTCTTTCGGACCTTCTTGTCTCTTTTTTGATGATACTACTGAGGACAGTAGGATGATTTTGAGACTGCTTCACGACTACTCACCATTACCGTTGCACGTGCTCTTGTGCTTTATTCTTCGCCCTTCCCCCTTTCTTGCCCTTTCTTGCCCCTTTCTCGCCTCTTTCTGTATGCCGTGCTTCATGTTATTCCGCCTTTCTTTCTATATACCCTTTTTGGACCGATCTAGATACCCGATATTCCTTTTCCCATCCTCTTTCTTTGACTTGTTCCTCTTTTCTTTCTTTCCTTCTTTCCTTCTTTCCTTCTTTCCTTCTTTCCTTCTTTCCTTCTTTCTTTCTTTCTTTCTTTCTTTCTTTCTGTCTCTCTATCTCTCTCTCCTTCTCTCTTCCTGTTGTTTTTTACACCGTCACGTCTGTCTAGAAGTGGTATATGGATTAGTAATGACATGATCATGGAGAGACAAGGGCCATCATCGCTTCTCAATCTGAATTTTAAATCCCGTCCTGAGGTGTACAAATTAGTCTATCCCGAGAGGGCTCTTAACACAACCGTTGAATTCGCAATTTAGATTTCAGAAAACATAATCCAAGAATAGAGAACATCCACATAATATGGCGCGTTGGGTCCAGATTTCTACTAGAGTTCATCGACATGGTCTCATGACACTCGTTCTACAGTCAAGGTGACTACTGACATTTTGCCTATTATCGATTAGATATTAGACCACTAGCCGTAGCAGCACTGGCAAGGCACATAGGGAGTATAGGATCTTGCACAGTTAACAGAGGAAACGAGGTACCTATCATGGCGATTACCCTTAAATTTCAGTAGAACCCAAGATTACTATGCTAATTTCATCCCCGGTGTTATATTTATAGATACAGAACGGTCTTATTTGCCCTTCTGACACTGATTATCAGGACATGTCAAGCAACAACTTCGATCTCTGATGTCCTATCCCTGGCATATACGTCTTTCCATTCCTCCCATAATCTCTCCAGCTCTTGCACGTACAGGGAATGAAGATGATTAATATAGTCATCGCCAATCTTCTCCCTATCTCGTTGCTGCATAACATGAATGGGGCGACCAACCACGATGTTCAGTGGTCGACGATATGGCATCAGACCCACATCATAGTTGAATACGCCACGGGCATGGAATAATGGAATGGTAAAACCCATTGTGTGCTTAACCAGCATCTGTAGTTTGTGTATAACGGGATGGTTTTCAGAGCGCACTTGTTCATAGAGGTCATTTTCACCAAAAGCCAATACCGGCACAAGATCAGCGCCTGTATGGATGGCTAATTTAATAAACCCCTTCCGTCTCTTTAGTACAAGGCGCAAGGTATGTGGAAGGGCATCAAGCGACTCGCGAGCGCCGCCTATGACGATGGTGATAGCACGGCCCATTCCTTCACCATCAATGCCGCCCTTTGTGAGCAGGTTCTCGCAGGATTCGCGAGAAACACTGGCAATTCCCATAGCAAGCGCATACTCCCTATAAAATGGAATCCGGAAATTTGAATCCAGTGTAAGCAGGGTGTTCGTGATACCAGGAAAAAGCCTTGAAAATCCCAGAGCCTCGGTGGCAAACGCCGCAAATGCACCATGGGAGATAATGCCATGTGGGTGGTATCCGAAAATATATTTCCGCGTGGGAAGAAGAGTTTCTGACCGATGCAAATGGGCTGGAAAATATGATGCATATATTGACCACACACCAAGTGAGCGTAAAAAATCGCTTCGACCTTTTAAAGTGCCCGAGGTAGCTGCGGATGAAAATAGAGAGATATAGATGATGTAAGGCAGTAGGAGAGGCCAGAATAGAGGGATTGCACAAGCGAAGAAGAATCCTGTTAGAAAGATCGCTATTGTCAGGGTATGACACAAAACCACCAGAGTCTGCAAACGCCGTTCGAGTCCGATATTGAGTGGTGCCCAATGAACACTGGGAGCAATTGTCAGACGTAGAGACTCGCCAGAGGGGAAGTCCACATTACACATGGTCAACTTCTTACCTTGGTCTCTTTTGTTCCCTCCGGGGTCCGTGGGAATGGCGGGGTGTAATACCACTAGGAATCGCGGATGGGCTTTTGTTGTATGGTGAACCCACCCGCTTCCAGAGCTTCTCGAAAGACCCCTCGGCAGGTATATGTTGCAGGGCTGCATTTTCCTGGCCAAGCGAAACAGGGACCGGAGAAGTATCGGAGGCCGACATCCGTAGACTAGACGCATATACTGCACCCGAACCTGCGATGCCGAGATCAGATGTGTTTAGAGCATTAGGGACAACAAGGAGTGACACTGATCATGTACCACGTGTAGGGATAAAAGCTCGGTTTATTCGAGGTCAAAATTGGACGATGGCCACCGAAGTGTCCAGGTATGACTGGTCAGTTAAGTAGGCTGCTAGGCGGCAGATTAGTTCAGCGCCTACAATTCCCGCGGGGAGAGAGAGATGGGAGATATATTGGTCATGGGCACGGCGTCTCGGTGACGTGCTATGGAATGTATGAGCCTGAGGTTCCGCGCCCGCCGCCGTACAGGGTCTAGACACAGTGGGGCAGGCCTTGATACAATGTGGGACAACTGGCTACTAACTAGTAACAGGACCGCCAGCTGACATTTGCCTTCCTTAATTGGTTAGATTAGCTACTCCGATGTATTTGCCACAACGAGACCGTCCCGTCACAGTATCAAGGAGATAATAGAAGTAGCCCTAATGATGAAGGGATAAAGTGACACATAGCAACGACCTTCCTCCCAATCAAAAAGTCAGAGGCTAGGGTTATTTTGCCTTTCTTAGCAAATGTACCTGCAATGGCAAACCCAGTACAATTCTACAGTAACGAAACGAATAAGTCTAAGGCATATACGGAGTAGCAGCCGGGGACTCAAAAGGATCCTCCCCAACCCCAACATTCCCCCCATGCTGCCGTTCTAGACGCTACATGCAAGCCTTCCTGGTATCAAGGTCTAGCGCAGCTTAATATCAGAAAAAAGCCGAGAAAGGAGTATGGTGAAGTCTATATGATTAGGATCGCTTCTAAGGGAGGTATCCCGCGCTATGATTTGACCATAAATATCTGCAACATATCACATATCAGCTTCCGTAAACAAGATGAAAATTTCATAAAATTCGGCACTCACCTCATTAAGAGACTTCTCATCCAAAAGAGCCTTCTTTTTTTGTGCAATATGTCGGCCTCTGAAGACATGTCTTCCCATAGGACGGCGCTCTTTCGACAAAACTTTAGCAGCCGGTAAAGGCTCTTTATGGCCATTGGTGGACGGCGTATCTGCTCGTTCGGAAGACCTCGTGTTCTTATCTTCGGAACGCACAGGCTCAGGCACTTCAACTTGTTTTCTCTTCTTGTCTTTCTTCTCCTGACGGTCCTTAGACTTAGACTTAGACTTTTTTCTTTTGATGTTCCCATCGGGTTGATCTCGCTCTTTATCATAATCCTGACTTCCATCTGTAGGGCTACCATCAGTACTCATTTGCCCTTTCCCATCTCCGAATACCGAAACAGAGGTTTTGATCTCCTGTTCATCTTTCGGGTTGCTCTGCAAGTCCTCGGTAGCAAGTGCCTCAATCTTTTCTTGAGCCAATAAACCGCCACTTATGAATGTGACTGTTTGCCATTTAGAAGCAGCATATCGTGCCAATTTCGCATTGTCGCGCTTTTGCTGCTCGATTTGTAGATCTGCATCTGACTTGCCGTTCAATCTTCCTAGCAAGCCTTTGAATGCATCAAGCCCAGTGGGCTCATCTAGGGGATCTCGCTTGGGTCGCGCTCCGAGACCAAGTGTATCATCTTTCAGAACAACTTTGATGTGAGTTGCACTCGCTGCGGTAAACATTTCAGCATGTGCAGCATTGCGTGCACCCAGGAAACTCCCGGGAGTCCATCCCTGAGAGCTTAGTATTTTGTGTCCGAAACCACTTGTTGACCGTGACCAATTTGTATTATTAGGATCATGGGAGATTTTGATTTTTCTGGGCCACTGCCTAGTCAGAATGCATGCAAATGTAGGTAGACATATGTAAAGGACTGTAAACACAAGTCACTTACTTGCGAGGTGCTGCAAGACCCATTTGCTGTAACGGGATATGGTATTTAAAGTACCTCCAAAAAGATCCTTTCTCTCAAACTCCTCTTCCGTATTGACTAGTCGATATGAACTTTGACTTCTATTTTTCCGCTTCTCAAATTTCCACTGATTCCTCGAAGATACTTATCAAATCACACAGGCGAAGGTTTAGGGAACGACAGCCAAATACTGAAAGTACGCATGAATACGATAAGAGTGAGCCTGGAAAAATTTTCTTCGGGCGGGCTACTTTGACCGCTTACCCTGTCCGGCAGTTGATAGGCTCTTCCCCCGGCAGCTAAAACTGCGGGGACCATGTTGTTCTCATATCAGTAATGGTAAGCTTGCTGTATTATTGATGCTACAAAGTGCGGTGCTAAAGAGTACCTACGGCTAATAAGTCTGGTCGGTTTCCTTGAATTCCTTACATCGGCTTTTATCGTCCTTATAGGATATTTTGGCAGTCAGCAGTCCCTTAGGTTAATCCCATCAGAGGAATAATTATCTACCGGACGGATAGGTAGAACTCGCAGAGGGCTACACAGAAAGTGGCAACTAATCTACATACTAGTCAAATTATGTACTAGTCGTTAGCTGCTTCTACGGATTACTACTCCGCAAATGTATCGCTAACTGAACCACATAAGAGGCTTGGGTACTCAGGTATCTGGAACGCAATATTTCCTATATATTTAACCCCTTCTCACGTGCTCTTTATCTAGGGAGACAGCGCCACGACGTCATATGGCAAAAGTTCAGCCGGAGCTTCTTCTGCAATTTGCATACAGATTGCTCCAACATGATCAATGAGGACTCAACAATAACTTAACAATGTCCGGTCTACGAATCTACACTCGGAACTATCCGAATCGTACGATTGCATTAGCCACCGCTGAATACGTACTGATCTTTCGCTCTGGCTTGGCAGAAGCGGAAATTAACGCCCAACATCACTCTAAGGCTACGCCGCGCTGCTTGGTTGATTTCGCCCCCCTATCATCCGTGGATTTGAAAGGCTATCGGGTCCTTGGTGATGGTTACGGTACGCTTGGGCTGGTTACTCTGGGCGAAGATGTTTTTCTGTGTGTGATCACTGGCTCTTCAAGGGCCGCAACCATCAAACCTGGGGAAACCATCTCGAGGATCAACAGTGTGGACTTTTGTAAGCCTTCGGCCTTTGTCCCTCGGTCATAGCTGTGCACAAATTGACATGAATTAAAAGTCTGCTTAAATCATTCAAAATACGAAGAGAGACTCGACTATGAATCCGAGTCCTCTTTCGCGGCTGAAGATTTCGACCATGACTTCAGCTTTGAAAGCAGAGAGCTGAATTCAGACCTTCCCTTTTTGGCTTTGAAGAAGCTTCTTAGTGACGGCAGCTTCTATTACAGCCTAGATTTTAATCTTACTGATCGGTTGCAGGACCGGTGAGCTAGCCTCCAGTTGTTGGATACCGCCATTGGCTGATGAATATTAGCTCAGACGAGCCGGGAGCTTTCGATATAGAGTCACTCGATGAAGATATGCTGTGGAATTCTTACATGATAAAACCCCTTCTTCTCTTTAGAAATCACTTGTCTTTGCCTGAAATACAGCGTCTTGACTCCTCCCAAATCCTGACATGCGTCATACGGGGGTTCTGTGGGACATTGACAATCCCTGCCTCTGCTCAAGTCTTGCCTAGTGCACGAACTCGTCTTCCAGCTTCATTAACAGTAATCTCGCGCCAGTCTTCTCGACGTGCAGGCACGAGGTTCAATTCTCGAGGCATCGACGACGACGGACATGTTGCCAACTTTGTTGAAACGGAAACAATACTCTGGGTTGCACCTGATATTGTATTCTCTTATGTCCAGGTTCGTGGCTCCGTGCCTATATTCTGGGAGCAGGCCACGGGTTTCCTTCCGGGACAGCAGAAGATTGAGATAACCAGATCCATTGAGGCAACGAAGCACGCCTTCGATAAACACTTTAAACTCCTTGAACTTGAGTATGGCGCAATTCATGTGGTCAACTTGCTCAGCGAATTGAAGCCAGGGGAAGTTGGTCTTTCTGCAAGGTTTCGTGATCTTCTAACGAAGAGCCCTCTAAATCGTCAGTCGTCAGACCACGCTCTGCTACAGTCAACGGAATTTGATTTTCACGCAGAGGCACGGGGGCCCTTGGGATATGGAGCTAGCGCCCAAATTAGGCATGAGATCGCACACTCTGTACAGGGATTTGCATATTTTCAGTCCGGCGAAGTTGACCCACTAGCTTTTTATGACAAACATCATGCGCCAAAGAGTTCCTCTGTCATACTTCAGCAAGAGGGGGTCTTCCGAACCAATTGCCTGGATTGTCTCGACAGGACTAATCTTGTTCAAACAATCATCAGTTCGATGGCTCTGGAAGCTTTTTTGGCTCAACAAGGGGGAGGCATAAGCCCCGATGTACAGCTGCGGCATTCGACTTTATGGGCAGATAATGGGGATGCCCTGTCGAGAATCTACGCTGGTACCGGTGCTTTAAAGACCTCATTCACGCGGCACGGCAAGATGTCCTTTGCCGGTGCGCTTGCTGATGCGCGCAAAACAGCTACCCGGATCTATGTCAATAACTTTTCCGATAGAGGTCGTCAAAACACAATTGACCTTTTATTAGGACGGTTGACAGATCAAGTACCGGTGCATCTTTACGATCCAGTCAATGATTTCGTATTAGAGGAACTGAGTCAACGATCACAAGAATACTCTTTTACTAAACCGATCAAAATTTGGACCGGGACATTCAATGTCAATGGGCGCCACGAGGGGCCTAATGCCGATTTGCGACAATGGTTGTTCTCACAATCTGATTTTCAAAGTGAAGATCCGTCAATATACGCCGTTGGCTTCCAAGAAATTGTTACGTTAAGTCCACAACAGATAATGTCAACAGACCCTACTACACGTAAAGCATGGGAGATTGCCGTACATACCTGCCTGAACAATCGTGCGGATCTTAGAGGAACTCCCAAGTATGTTCTCTTGCGAAGTGGCCAACTTGTGGGCACTGCCTTGATGATATATGTGAGAGAAGATGCTTTGGGCGATATAAAAAATGTGGAAGGTAATGTTAAAAAGGTAGGTACTTTCTACTCCATCGAGAGCATCCAGCTGACCTCGTACAGACGGGCCTCTCCGGAATGGCTGGCAACAAAGGAGGATGTGCCATTCGCTTCGAATATTTTAACACCCGGGTTTGTTTCGTCACCGCCCATCTTGCTGCTGGATTTGCAAACTACGACGAGAGAAACAGAGACTATGAGACGATTCTTCGTGGGCTAAGGTTCTTGAGGAACAGATCGATCGAGGACCATGACACAGTAGTATGGCTCGGGGACTTCAATTATCGAATCGGCCTTGGCAATCAAAAAGCAAGAGAGCTTGCCCAGCAAAAGGATTTTCAGACGCTATACGATAATGACCAGGTTTGTTCTTTTCTAGAAGATGTGTCGAACTTCACTGTTGACCACGCGCAGTTGAATTTGCAGATGTTAGCAGGTAGAGCCTTTCAATTCTACACCGAAGGGCCCATTACCTTCCATCCGACTTACAAATACGACGTTGGCAGGGATGATTATGATACTTCGTAAGACTATCTTTTGTTATTTCACTTTACTCACAACAATTAATCAAGTGCCTGCAGAGAAAAAGCGCGCATACCTGCATGGTGTGACCGGATCCTATGGAGAGGCTCCAACCTTCGACAGACGAAGTATAGCGCTGCGGATTTGCGGCTTTCCGACCACCGTCCAGTCTGGGCTCTGTTTACATGCATGATAAATGTCGTCGATGAGGCCCAAAAGTGCAGACTTCAGACTTCGCTATATAGTGAACGACAACATGCTGCTCATACCATGCTGCCGGATACGGCGAACCAGGTAGACACCGATGATGGCGAGTCCACGGCTCTCGAGCGCATTGCTTCGGGATTTCCTCCTGCTAGTTCAGATCATTATAAATGGTGGTTAACTAATGGTACGTCGACAAATCAGCCTTGTTCTTCACCTGCCCTATTCCCCAGTACATTGTTCTAATCTGTATCGGTTAAGGCACACCTGTAAAGTCGCAATTGAGGCCTCCAGCCGGCGATTGTGTGCTGAATATATATCGCGACGCAAACCCGTTCTCTTGTGACCAGAATACTAATTGGGCGTTTGCACCTGATTTCGCTACAAAGGGCGGGGATATGGGTACAGAAAAACCTCCCCTACCACCAAGGATTATGCCAATGGAACATTCCCGAGCTAGGATCTCTTCGGAGGCAGAATTATCTACAGATACCCGAAAACCTATCAAGGCATCAAGCGGAGTGAAAATCACACCACCACTACTGCAGGAATCTATCCCACCCGGTGCAGGTCAGAATTCAACAACAGCTCATCTTGCACCACGCTCATCGAAAGGTCTCATAGAAGGGATCGAAGTACCTCCTATGCATGGACCAGATCAGGTAGACGCCCTTGATTTAACACGGCGAACTCCATCACACCGGAGTATTTTAGACCAAGGTACTTCTGAACAGCAATACAAAGGTCTGGATTCTCACAGTGCTACCCATATATCTACGGAGAAAGCGCCGAGTCCAGCTACGAGGGATCTTCTTGGGGGAGTAATCAGTGATGATCTTCAATGGAAGCCCCTAAGGCCCAAATGATAAGTCCCTTTTGGGTCTGACATGGGCTGTGACATTACAGTTTGTGTCCGAATTATAGATTGGTCGAATCTGTTTTCTTCTTGCCCTGCAGTAAATTATTGCGGTCACGAATGCCCATAATGGATTACACAAAACAAAATGGCAGATTGAAAGAGGTAAATAGTCAGGCATCTATACAAACATTCAGTCACATGCTATGAGGGAAGGTCTATGGGTATATGTACATGTTCATGTTCAACATCCTAAGCATTTCATAGCGTAGTTTCAAGGCATGAGTAGCAAAAAGTTGGCCCCCAAGAAAAGAGAAGAGAAAAGAAAAGAGCTACATCCATCATCCCCAGGGGTATGAGAAACCAATCCCGAACAAACGAGAGGAAAAGTCATACCCATCCAAAGCAGACAGAATTGAAGAGGGCTCGGGATCCACAACACTCGCCAAGAGATGCTCTATAAAAAGCGACCGAGTTAGAGTTGGTTAAAGCCAAGGAACACAAGTAGCACATACCGCCTAGTAATGTCTCTTGGATATTAAAGGAGTTGCTCCCTCATAGAGTAATCCAGTCATATCGAGTACTTACTGACAGGCGCTATTTGCCTTGTCTTTTGTCATGCGCAATCTGAGGACGAGATCGTAGAACCTGAGTAACTTCACATTACACGGCAAGAAATTCCGTGATAGACTGCTTTAGGCTTTTTTTCCGTTTTTAAAGCCCTGTTAAACTTCAAGCGATTACCCCCAACCATCCACATAGCGAATGCACCAGGATCAGGAGCCTTGGAGCGTGGCTTTTTAGCACCTAATGCCCGATCAGCCAAAATGCATAGAGCCAAATGAATCAATTAATAGTAAGCACATGGGGAGAAACTGCGATATCAAAGAACGGAGTTACCCACCAGCTGGCTCGGCCTTTTTTTTAGGTTCTTCGAGTATAACGATAGCTTCATCAACTGGCGCTGCTGCAACCTCAGGAGGCGGCGGCTCTTGCGGAGCAGGAGGATCTGGGGGTGGGATAGGCTCCGGGGTCTTTGGCTTCTCAGGTATAGGCCACATATGCATGGTTATAGTCCAATCGGGTTCTATGACAGTTTCCCAAACCTGAGGAAGAATTATATCGCCATTGGGGCCTACTAGGTCATAGTGTCCCTCGGCAACATGAAGCCCGATTACTTCGATGTGAAGGAAGGCTTGGCGTATGAGCTCTTCCATTCCCTTCATCGACAGTCAGATAAGAGTGGCATATAATATGAGAGTAGACCTTACCTGCCAAGTGCAACACAATTCAAATGGGAAACTGAATTTCCTGCCGACAGCATCTTTGAACTTTATGGGCTTTTTCTTCTCCGGTGGAGGGGGGGCTGCGGCGGCGGCCGCTGCTGCTGCTGTCGCAGCGGCGACTGCCTCTGCCGCTGCTGCATTTGCTGCCTCTGTGGCTGCTGCCGCCGCCTCGGCCGCCGCCGCCGTCGCCGCCTCTTCAGCCTCTTGCTTTGCTTTTGCAGCTTCTTCGGCGGCTTTTTGTTCTGCCTCTGCCCTTGCACGTGCTGCAGCCTCCTCTGTAATCTTCTTCTCATGCGCAGCACGTTCCTCTCTGGAGACCTGTTCGGCCGCCTCTTGCTCGATTGCAGCTTGCCGGGCAGCCTCCCGGGCTTCCCGGGCTTCGCGTTCAGTCCGCTCTTCCATTATCAACTTTTCCAGCCTTGCAATAGCCTCATCCTTTGCTGTATCAACCGGCGCCGGCGCCGGCGCCGGTGCAGGAGCAGGCGATTCACTAGACTCAACTTGGCTTGGTGAAGGCACACGTGGATATGGGTTGAAATACGGTGAAATCATCCCCGGGACGATGGGATAGGGCTCTCTGAAAGGGTAATAGCTTCCTGGTCCATAAGGAACCAGGTCGTGGGGGCCCAAGGGAGGCGCGCCATAGGGAGATGGGCCATGAGGCGAAATATGATGAGACATCGCGTGCTGTGGTGGGTTATGACCATCTCCGCGGCTATGGGAAGCTGTCGAAACTTGATGGGGATGATGCCCTGGATGGTGCTCGTGAACGAAAAATGGTGGCATTGGAGGGCCATGGGGTTGCTGTAACTGAGAGGTATATCCGTAGACTGGGTGAGTGTACGTCGTCTGCTGGCCGACTTGACCATTGTGGCTGAGTCTTACTAGCTGGTCGGAGGGAGGAAGACCAGCTGGGTGCATGAAAGGCGCATGAGGTATACTAGTCCCGCTCGGATAAACGTACGACGGCCCAGGGGACGAGCTGCGGGCATAACCTGGGACTTGGGGCACAGATGACCAATATCTTCTTTCTTGCGATGCGTGGCCATAGGGACTTCCGTATTCTTCAGCCGAATCAGCACTTTCTGGTGAGTCTGGAGAAGGATGGCGACGAGAACGGCGGGAAAATGTGTCCCTTTCCTGGACCAAATGTCGCCTGGCTGAGTGGCGACGGTCGGCGGTTGAAGTTGGGCCAGTTATGATACTGCGAGTGCGAGTACGACGTGTCGTTCGAGGTCGAGACGCCGAATCAGAAGGTTTTATTTCGTCGGGATAAGTAAGATGGGCCCATTCTTCATAATGGTCATGGTATCCATGACTCTCGGAGTCGGAGATTGGAGACACTTGCACCCCTGATGAGTCTTCCTCATCAGATAAGGAGGAATGATCTGAATCGTGTGGGCTGGGACCAATGGTAATATTGAACCTGTTTGACTGTCAGTTCCCAGCACTATCAATGATCATTCGTGCTGATACACACGTCATTGTGGTAGCCAAAGTTCTTGACTCATCACCTGCAACTCTGACTCTTGATGTTTAATCCTAAACCCCAATGAATATAGATCAGCGAGGCAAAGGGGTACTGAAAGTATCCGATAGAATGCCCCGGTATTTATTGGATGACGATCTAAAATTTCGAGGCTTTCGATGTATCACGGTTAGTTGAATGACGCAGGCTAGCCAGAGTTGTATAGAGTGTTTTAACCCTCTATGGCCCTCGGCATTAGAGGAGCATTCATTGTTAGTGTCTGATTATGGCCAGTACCATCCAAGCGTAAATGCACAATGGTGCAATTGGATATTGGCTTTCTAGAGTATGGCTTTAGTGGAATTAGGCGCACATCAGCTGCAGAGTAGAGTGGAAATCCCCAATTTGAGCCAGGCAGGCCAGGGAAGAGGGGGGGGGGAGGGGGAATAAAAATAAAAATAAAAATAGACAAATAAAGAGACAGGTGACACTCTCACATATAACACAGTGAGGCCGGGCTGAAGAAGAACAAGGAAAGCAGGAAGCGGGGAGGAGGAACCAAACACGACTTGTTACGGAAAAATTAACAAAGAGTGTAGAGTTGACGGCCTGATCAAATTAAGTTGTTTGGGCCTACTCCGTATAGTGGAGTTTTGGGCATGCCAGGCATGAATAATGGGCAAGGATTTTTATCTAAATGTCGTCACCGTTCATCTTATTAAGGTATTGTTAGGCACTGAGTTAGTCCGCTGCCCAAATGCCCAATCAATTCCATGTCAACTTGAGAAATTATAGGTACCCTAGTACTCCCTACCTAGCTACTATCCAGCTACGTAGATACCTACGTACCGCTGTCCCCACTATCAGTAACTTGAGCATTTGGACATCTCTTGACGCCATATAACCAACCTATGCAACCTAAGTAGGTATTATGATAGCTCTGGCACAGGAGAGTCAAGCTGGCATGCGTTTTATGTTTCAAAGAAGGTCTTCAGAAGCCCTAGAAAGTTTAGTTGACGTCCACATGTATCATTAGTCAGTCAGTGGCAACCCCTGTGCCTGGATTTTTTTGCTCTGTTACTTTGAAGCTCAGAATAGAAATGTTGGTGGGACATATACTTCCTATTAGACGCCCCAAAGTGAGATAAGATGCATTACACCTTATCTTTATATCAGGCTCAAGACCTTGAGATACTGTGTGGCCTACATACGATCAGCAAAGCTCAATTCTTGGACCGATTTAAATATCGAAAATACATACGTAGAATTGGCTATAGCCTCCGAATAATACTTACGCGAGACATCGTAATCTCTACATAGTAAGCACAAATAATCCTATGGGTAGGCCACGCTGAACCTTATACTCATAAATTGGCAGCCCTTGAAGCAAGTCCTATGGTTGACAAGTTGCTGGTCTACCCATGTGGTTTGCATTAGAAGATCAAATTGCAGTGTCCTACTCAACCTTATTATGTTATGTGGGTGTTAAGTAGCCCATGCCAGTGTTATTTATCAAGTCAGATTATTGTATTACCACGTCTTCTTTGTCCTTACATTTTCCTGCTCAGGTGGGAGGACGGAGGAAAACATCAACACCTATACATTCAAATTGCCCGGTCGATCGAGGAGCTCCTTCGCCGCAATAAGCTCGCTCTGATTGCCCTTCCAAATGTGAAGTTTTGAAGTTCGACTTTTCACAATCTCATCGAGCCTTTTCCTGGCGAAATTGGTCAGCTCATCAAGGACCTCGCTTGTTAGCGAGCTTCTCGTTTGTGCCGATGATTGGTCTTGAGAATGGTTATCTAAACGTTGTTTCCTTCCAAGGAGCGATGTAGCCTGCGTGAGCGTGAGTCATTGATTCCAATTGGCACAAAGATATCAGGTGTAGTACCAGGACTAATCCGTAGAAGCCTCTCAGATAATCGGTGCAGAGCTCTATGCTTCGACAGAAACGGTGTATGGAACCCTCCAAAAGCTGGAAACAGTCCCCTGTGTCCGAGGAAATCGCGCCAGAATACAAGAGTTCACCGAGAAAAGCATGAATCTACGTAGTGGAACAATCAGCTTCCAATTCACGGCGCATCTCATGATCAAGGATCATACATTCCAAGCGTTGGGCACGATTAAGAGCGCCTCCTCGAGGCAGAAAGCCGCCTGTGAGCTCATTCCCTGGGAATGATATAAATCTGCAAGTTCACACCAAGCCTCGGCATCTGTTGGAACAGCGTCTAGAAGGTTGATTAAACTGGATATAGCGTCCGTTGGCCTGGAAAGCGAACGTAAGAGCGCAATTCGACGCTTTTGTATAGGCTGTCCTAAAAGTTAGCCTTCAGTTCATCTGTGTGCAGTTAGAACGGACCAGGTTCATGGGATTTTCAGAAAGCACGAGGTCGTATTCCTGCAAGCATTTTTCAAGAGTAGATTGATTGTCCGCAGTTGCCTCTTCATACAGCCCTCTCAGTCCGGTTACTTTGTCATCAGTGGCACCGAACCGAGCCCCTAATTGCTCAGTACAAAGTAATGCAGATTTGTCGTCCCCAGCTCGTAAGCATGAAAATAGCAGTTGTTCTATTACACTGTAATTCTCAGGATCCTTCCCACCGTGTTCAGATGAGTGAGAGATGGTCTCCCCTCGAGAGTTACTTCGAAGTATCAGTGGTGCTTGCTGTGCGAAATAAAAGGCAGTGACTGGGTTCGAGCCATTTGCAGCTTGAAGCTCGGGTGTAATAGTCTGCATTATACGAAGCTGGCGACTGAGTAGTTACAATCAATGTAACACACTTGGGCATTAACCGTACTCCAGTTAATTTGGAAGACAAGGGAAATGGTTCGTAACGAATGGGCGAGCCTAAAACAAGACAGACAGTATTAGTATAATTATTTCACAGTGGGATAAGAAGAAATTAATTGCCTAATCTTGACCGCAGATGTTCATGATGTTTATCGTTATCTACCATCTGGCATTTACTCCCGTGACTTAGTGGCATATTAATCCCCAGCCTAGTGACTAACCAGTAGTAGTTAATTACAAGGACCCGCCGACCCAACATCCCTGGTCGGCAGTGAACTAGGGCGGTACTACCTAACTACGTAAGTACATAGTGTTGGCTATCAAGATCCATGATCTGGTATCTGGTTCAGAGTAAATGACACTTGAGTGATTGTGAACCCCGATTTTATCGAATTAAAGCACCAAGTCCTAGCACGATGTCGGTACCTATCTCTTGAACCTTCAAGTCACTACTGACATGCCGCCAACATAGGTTCGAGAAATCGCTTTATGACCTTATCAAAGGTCTCAGAAACCACAGAGGGACAGAGGATGAATATATACAAGATAGTCTGCGAGAGTGTAAGGCTGAGATCAAGTCGCAAGACATGGGTACGCAGACATCATTTATCTCAGCTTGCTTAGATGCTTATTTTTGGTAGATAAAAAGGCCACTGCACTCTTAAAATTGGTTTATCTGGAAATGTTTGGATACGATATGTCGTGGGCTTCTTTTCACGTTTTAGAAGTGATGTCGTCTGCAAAGTATCTTCAGAAACGAGCAGGGTACCTTGGAGCAGAGCAGAGCTTTAGGCCAGACACAGAGGTACTAATGTTGGCGACGAATCTTTTAAAGAAGGTCAGAGGGCTTCCCTCTAGGTATTTCTTCTTCCATTGACTAACAGTATTACAGGACCTGGTATCTCACAGTATCCCCAATATGTCACTCCCACTGATCACACTACCAACAATTGCCACGACATCCCTCGCCATGTCTTTACTTCCGGACGTCTTGTCCCGGATCTCTCACTCTCATGCTGTGGTTCGGAAGAAGGCTGTTATATGTCTCTATAGGCTAACCTTGGCTTACCCGGACGCACTAAAACTAGCATGGCCAAAGATTAAAGAAAGGCTCATGGATGACGAAGAGGACACTAGTGTCACCACAGCAGTGCTTAACGTTGTATGCGAATTGGGATGGCGAAGACCTCATGATTTCCTCCCTCTTGCACCAAGGTTTTTCGAGTTACTGGTGGATGGAGGCAATAATTGGATGGCCATAAAAATAATTAAGCTTGTATGTGTTATGCTCCTAGCGCATATACATATTACTTTCCTAACAATCACAGTTTGCGACTTTGACCCCACTCGAACCACGCTTAGTCCGAAAGCTGCATCGTCCATTAGTTAATATTATTCAAACAACTACGGCAATGTCATTGCTTTATGAGTGCATTAATGGGCTGATCCAGGGCGGTATACTTGATGGTGAAGCGGGAATCGAAGAGAAGGATGAAATTGCAAACTTATGTGTCGGTAAACTGCGGGGAATGGTGGTTTCTGACTCGGATCCAAACCGTGAGTACTGTCTAATACAGCAATTGAGATCAAGCAGCTGACAGAGAAGGCGTAGTCAAATACGTGGCGCTCCTGGCATTCAATAGGATTGTGGTCACTTACCCTGCGTTGGTGTCAATGCACCAAGATGTGATTATGTATTGCTTAGATGATGCTGACATATCAATCCGCCTACAAGCTCTTGAGCTCGCAACAAGAATGGTCACGAGTGATACCTTGCAGTCAATTGTTAGTCAGTTGATCTCCCAGCTCACGAATTCCCGACCATTGCAGAAGGGAAGGCACCTTGAAATTGAAGATGGGCGCTTCGAATGGGGGGATTATGAGTTGCGAAAAGATGCAACAAATAAGGCGCCATTTGCATTGCCAAGTGACTATCAGGCTCAAGTCCTGCATCGCATCATAGACATATGCTCTTTTGATAATTACTCAAACCTATCAGACTTTGAATGGTATGTCGATGTCTTGATACGTTTAGTGAAACTTCTTCCGGCAGACATCGAAGATACTTCTTTTCTACATGCCCCACACTATGAGCGTGAAACCCAAGATGGAAATCATATAACCGGCCGAATTGGTTCAGAGATTCGCAACATTGCTGTCCGTGTTCGAGACGTCCGGATGGAAGCGACTAGGGCAGCGGAGTCATTGATCCTAATTGACAACAGGCAAGCCCTACATTCCGGTGTACCAGCCTCGAGTAATAGTTATTTAGGGCCTCTGGCATGGGTTGTCGGTGAATATGCTGGATACCTTGTGTCACCCGGACAAACTCTTCACTCATTGATTGATTTGTCTAATGTGTCATTACCAGGGCAAACTCTTTCCCTCTATGTGCAGGCCATTCCAAAGGTTTTTATCCATATCGTTCGCGATAGCGATCAGCAATGGGGCTCTAGCAGGAGAAGTGAAATTGCACTCATTCTGGTGCGGGCTACTGAGTTCTTAGAAGCCCTGGGGTCACATCCAGATCTAGATGTGCAAGAAAGGGCCATTGAGTTTTTAGAGATCATGCGATTAGCAGCGGACGCCGCACGTTCAACAGGTCTTGGATCCTGTGACGCCCCTTTCCTATTGGCCTCGGTGATCCCTAGTCTCTTCGATGGGCTTGAATTAAACCCGGTTTCTGTTAACGCCCAAAAGAAAGTCCAATCTCCAGAGCTGCTGCGACTGCAACAAGCATTCAACAACGGTCTCTGGGAACTCTTCGACCATAATCCTGGACATTCCCTTGTGGAAAGCAAGCTGCCGTTCCATGATTTCTATTACAATCGAGAGGCGTCCGTGCTAGATAAGCAGGTCGTTGAGTGTGTCTCAGATGACATGCATTTGACTTCAGCTTTTCGAAATACTGGAAATGATCTTGAAGATTCGGCTGCTTCTGTGAAGCGCAAAGTGGATCAAAAAGAACGCAGTCGAGATGATCCATTTTACATCGGGGCTGATGATACATGGACAGGGATATCTCAGACGCATCGGCTCCCATTGCACGTCTCGAATGATGGCGAGCTAGATATTGACTCCATCCCAATTATTGATCTCAGGTTGAATGAAACGAGAGACCAACGGAGTGAACGCATACCAGCTCCCATACCTAGTGAAAATCGGTCAAGGGTCGGATCACACCTTAAAAAATACCACGTAATCCCAGATGAAATGATTGGGCACGAGGGAATGGATACTGAAGACACAGGGACCCTTATCAAATCGAGCCGGTCGCTCCTTTTGGTAGATTCGAGCGGTCTACAGCGCCTTTCTTTGAGGGAAGATAATATGTCACCGCCAACCCCCAAGAACGTTGCCGGAGTTGAGGAAGATGTGGAAATGGCTAAGGCCATGCGACAAGTAGAGAAAGTTCGATTGGAAATGCAGAGGGAGTCGGAAAGAGTTCATCCAACAGGAATCCCCTCAGAGGGTACGTTGGTCAAGAAGAAGAAACGGGTAAAAAAGGTTCTGGTCACTGGAACGCGAGAGAATGAAGAAAAACAACTCTCAACTGCAGATGGGAATGGCCAGCGCAAACCGAAAAAGAAGAGGGGCAGGAAACAATAGGTCTTCATATGCCCTTGACAAGTGAATATCGATATCTAGTAAAGACAATGAAATAGGTAGTTGGTTTATTAGTGTCTATATCCAAACTCCTCAAACGCGACCTGCGCTTCCCACCACATGATCAATGAGAGGACTAAAGATCCACAACATCTGCAGGTGGCACGTGAATCAACAGACATGGGATATCAATAGGGTGCGCTTATCGTCGTCGTTGCGCTTTGGAAAAACAAGGACTCCAAGCTGCCACATCCGGTGAGGGTATTATTGACGGACTCAGAGTATCAGGCGACTGAAATATGCGACAATGGTTGACCACAGCTTTGGTATGATCCCCAGGAACTCAAGGAAGACCCCACCACAGACAACAAACGCAAGTATCACTGTTTCACTGTTAGCTCAGGTTGCGGATGCAGCCAGTTGGTGTTTAGTGACGTACCTAACCAGCCAGTAGACACCGGTGACCTTGAAGTCTGCTTCAGCTTTGTACTTGTCCTGCCTTTACCACGCTTTGCAGATTCTTGTTTCGCAAATCTCTCATTTGCCTTTCTTTGTTGCGGTGTCTGGGCCTAAACATGGTGTTAATAACCTGTCCATAGTTCTTGTCAGAGAATCGAGAGTTGATGAATTACCATAATGATCTGCCTGGTGCTGTGCTGGTTTGGTTTATGTGAGGAGGGGTATAAAGGTTTATGGGCATTGACACATGGAGTGTGGACTTTATCTAGAAGTTTTCAATGATTCCATAAATATGTATTCTGTAATCGGGCAGATTGTAACCAGTACCCCTTACAAAAAGGCCACGTTGTGCCAAGTCTTACTCAAGGAGTCCATGTTACTTGACTAGTAGGCAATGTGACTAGGAAAGGTGGCACAAACAGGCCGGGCAATGTCAAAAGCATAATTATACATATTCTCAAATACGTGACTTCCTTGGGCACGCATTTGGGGCATCATGAAGAATGGAAGATAGAATAACTAGGTCCTAGATTGTGGACGACCTGCAATCACCCAAAGCCCAAGGGATTGTGAAGTATCATTGTTAGACGCCTCGGGCAATCCCATGATAAATAGCACGCCCTTCCAGCACTCCAGAATCATAGAATATATAAAAAGACAGGTTATTTAATTAAGTGATCTGTACACTTAGATAATTTAATAAATCGTTATTATAACAAACACCAGGAACTCTGGAAAGCAAGTAATTAGTTATATATTTATATTTGTGACTGCTTCGTCGGGTCCCTTCTTCATGTATGTAGAGGTTCCGGGCCTTCCTGCTGGAGGTCTTCCCCAAACCTTCCTCATTTGTATGTCAGTCCTCTAGTATATAGCTATATTGGCGAGTCTCTTTACTCTTAAATTGATTATTATTATATATATTTATTGTCTTTCTTCTTAAAGCTGCTTTAAAGATAGTAGTATATTTATAGGCTGATCCTAGGTCTCTGTTATTATTTATTTACTAATATATATTATCATTCTATTTGTTTATTCTATCTATCGAAATTTCTGTTATTATTTCACTGATTTTGAATATTTGCAAGTCTAAGTGACTGAATATTATTATTAAATATATTCTTCTGTATTACTTTTTTTCTGTCTTTTTATTAATTTTATTGTTTATGTTATTATTTCTATTTTCTTTGCTTCTTTTACTGTTAGAAAACCTTATTTTCTGTTGTATATCTTGTGTCTTGTTAAGTTTACTGTATTATCAATTTATTAGATTAAAAGTATTTTATTAGAAGTATTAAATATTATTAAGATATGATCTCTAAATTATTAAACCTACTTATTAAATTACTTTATTCCGTGTTTTTTTAGATTCTTTCTATACTGTAAAATTTGATTAAGATGTTTTATGTCACGGTGCCTGCCTGCCTGCCTGCCTGAATCCTGCCTGACCCTTGTGTGGTTGCCTGATCCTGTTTCTGAACATCCCTTATATAGAGTGTGCAGTTGTCAAACCCTAGGATCGCTTCTCCCTGTTCCTGTTAGCTTAGCTCCCGTTCCAATACGTACCTTGTGAACTGAATCAAAGGTAGTCAGGTTGTCGACTATCTAAAGGTGACTTGATCTTGAACAGAAGAAGAGAAGTAAGGCCAGATAGTGCCGCGCAGCTATCCGTAAGTAAGTGCGGACGAGTGTTGTCGCTAAGCTCTACTAAAATATAGGTTACTTAAAGACAATGTGGATTGAGCACGAAGAACAGAACTAAGTACATGAAGGAGTGTCCTTATATATCCGTTCTCTGTATACCATTCTATATATTATCAGGTCTGTTGTATACCTACTTGGTAGTTATAGACCATGATGGTATGTTGTATACCACATGCTTGTCTGTATACCATGGTCACGTGATCCGTGCTGCCTGACGGTTCGGGTCGGGGTCCTCCTTGATAAGAGTCCTCTTCTGTCTGGATGTGGCCTTCTGCCTGACATACCCGCCTTACTAGTTGTTCAGTTAGCAGGGGTCCGTAACACTATCTTCCCTTCTTTGAGATTCTTATTCTCAAGAATATAAAGGTGCGTGTCCCTTGTTCAGGTCGGCTGAGTCCCTTGGTTTCCTTTTTTTTTAAGATGGATTATTATATCTCTGCGTAATTGTTACAAGGAGCGCTGTCAGCAGGCTGACTGGATTGTTTGTAACGGCATCTAGGTCGATTTTCCTTGTACTTGGTGTGATTTTTATAGTCTTTCTTATTTTATGGATTCCAAAAACCAAAATTATGTGGCCTGCACTCGTCGTGGCTGAAAATGTGAAAAGTGATTTTACAGTGATTCTGAGTGGGATAAGCTTTAATATAATGAAGAAAGGATAGTTCAAGAGATTAAAGAGACTGAAGAATAGATTGAGCTATTATTTACAAAAATGAAGTGGTTGCGAAAATATTATAGATTTCTGAAGGATCGTGGTGGTTGGATGTTAAATCATGATTTGAATGTGTTGGAGTAACTGGATAATGAGGATCCTCCAAGCATCAAGGACCTCTGAGAGTTAGAGTGTTTAGCTAATAAACATAACGTTGCTTAACTTGCCGCTGCGTCAGATACTCCTAGTCTGACTTAGTTAGTTAATTTCTCTTCTTTCTGGGCGAACTTTGACCTGTTTGTTAGTAGTACTGCTCTACAAGCTGGTGATAGCCTGTCAAATTCTTAATAGATTCTTATGTATTTTCTGAGGTATCATATTCTACCTATTTTACTAGATACTGTGATCTGCCGCTAATCTTTTTATAGTCCAGGATCTTTTTGACTTTATATTCTTTTTTTGTATTGTTATCAATCTCCATGTTTTTTGTGATTTTAGTGTTCTTTGGTACGGGTTCCAACAATGAGATATAAAATACTGAGTAAATTCTGTTCATTGATTTTGGCAATCTTAACTTGTAGTTAACTAGTCTTTTCTTGTCTTTAATGATAAATAGTCCTAGCTTGTAATAATCAAGCTTCTGACTTGATTATTTTATCTTAATGTTTTTGCAGAGTAGGAACATCTTTTTCTCTTTTTTAAGATCAGGTTCTTTTTTATATCTATAATTATAATATATCTTACTGTATAAGTTTATAAACTCAATATCTTGAGATAACTATAGATACATGTTTTCTATAAATATAATAATATTTTTAGCTATATCAGTAACTTGCTACCTCTCTAATAATATTTTTAGAAATCTTGGATGGTATCTATAATTAGTATAAAACAGTGAGACTCTAATAGTCAAGTGACTGGTGTTATTGTATGAGAACTATGTTATTAATAATAAGTATATTTAATCATTCTGCTAGTAGTTTACATAATATCTTAGATATTGCTTAATTATTTAATTAACTCTTTCTGTTTGCCTATTTATCTGTGGGTGGTAAGCTGTTATTATTTATTCTTCTATTTTTATAAAATCTGTAAGTAATCTTTAGAACTTTAAGATAAATAACTTGTCTTGATTTAATATGATGTACTTCGGCATTTTATGATATATAACAATATTTTTTAAAAATAGTTTTATTATCTATATTACTGTTATTATTATCTTACTTAGTATAAGATAAATATATTTGGTAAGATGATCAGTGATGACTGTGATAATATCAAATTCTTCTGATTTTGGTAATAGATTAATAAAATTAATTATTATCTATTTTTATAGCTGTTATGGCGCCTCCTGTACTTATATTTATTTATAAGGTTAGTATTTTATAGACTTATTTCTAATATAAGTCTTATATTGTCTAATATAATCATATACTTTCTGTCTAAGGTTCGGAATGTAATAATTTCTTATGATTAGTTTAGTTATCTTTTCTACTTTTAAGTAATCTTTAAGTAGTTTATCATAATATCTAGCCATAATCTCTATCCTTATTGCAGTTGATATAAAGATTAATCTATGAAAGTGTGCTAGTTTATTTTTATTGATAGTGATCTTGTTTAGTAAGCCCTTATTTATTTCTTGAAGTATTTTATTGTTTTTTGTATCTTCAGCTAATTGCTTAATTAGATTATTATCTATTTTCAATATTATTACTAGATTAGCCCTGTTATAGCTGATTAATCTATCCATGTTTTGCTTTAAGATGGCTAGTTTGATAGTCTTTCTGCTTAGTTTATAGTCTGGCCTACGGCTCAGCATATCTGCATATCTATTCTCTGTTTTTTTACAGTATATGATTCTGAAGTTATATTATAACAGAATCTTAGTCTATTGTGCCTGTTTTTTAGTCAATTCTTTAGTTATTGTGAAGTAGGTCAAGTTCTTATGGTCTATCTTTATAATGACAGTGTGTTTTATCTCTTTAAGATAGACCTTTCACTGCTTAAATATTATTACTATAGCTAGTAATTTCTTGTCGTGAATGTCATAGTTAAGTTCTGCTTAAACCAACTTCCTTAAGTGAAATATAATTAATCTTAGCTTTCTATCTTCTCCAGATTACGTTATATATATATCAACAGTATAGTCTGATATGTCAGTTTTAATGGTTATTTCTTTCTTTAGATCATGCTATATAAGTACTAGTAATGTGGTAAGTTATTATTTGATATCTTTAAACGTACTTTACTGTGGTTCTTTTCACTGATACTTCTTTAACTTTTTTATAAGCTTAAAAAATGGTGTTATATGGATGGTATATCCGTCCATGAATCATTAATAATAATTAACTAATCTGATGAATTACTATAGTTCTTTCAGATTTTTAGGTTAAGGTTAATCCTGTATAGCTTGTACTTTAGCTCACTCAGTATGGATTTTCTCTGTAGATATCCAGTGTTCTAGAAACTCTATCTTCTATATATAGAATTCATACTTCTTCAGCTTATATTATAATTAATATAGATATAGTTTGTATAGAACTAGTCTTATATATCTTATATATTCTTCCTCAGTCTTTGAAAAGATTAATATATTGTCTAGATAAATAATTATAAATTTATCAAGATATTTTCTAAAAACTTTATTAATATATTACTGAAATGATGCTGGTGTGTTAATAAGTCTAAATAATATAATCAAGTATTTAAAGTATTTATACTTTATTTTAAATATGGTTTTCTATTTTTTATCTTCTGTAATGTGTATATGATAATATATATTTATAATATTAAGTTTAATAAATCACTTTATTTCTTATATCTTGTCTTAGATTTCCAAAATCAAAGGTAACAGATGTTAATTCTTAATTATAATAATATTTAGTAACTAATAATCCACGTATAACTGTAAACTGCTGTTTTTTTTTGGTATAAATAGGACTTTATATTCTACTGGTGACTTTAAAGGTCTGATGTTATCTTTAACCAGCTGGTTATTAATGTATTCTTATAGTACTTATAATTTTTTCTTAAATATTGGGTAAATCTTTCTATATACTGGTAACTTTTCTTTTTCTATAGAAATAGTATGGTCATGCTTTCTATGCTGAGATAATTCAG